TAGTAATTCTCCGTTGTTCGGTAATTTTCCATGGGCCTTTACAATCTAAGCTTCTCCCAGGGTAGCTGCAAAATAAGCAAGCTTCCACATGCTTTCAACCAGAGTACTGTAACATAAGTACCTAATTTTTGATAAGAGATGCTGAACAAAGGCACTCTATTACCAGCTATAAATGTACTTGCTCAATGGACAAGTTCAAGTGAAGTTCACACTTCAAACAACCACCAGAGACCAGCAGAAGACCCCTAGTAACCAAATGAAGAGTTCCGAAGAACTTCTCAGAGCTGATTAATATATGCATGAACTTTCTGAGAAAAGCAGTGAATATGTAAGACATTTGATGAATATGTAAAACTGTAAGTAAATATTAGCTACACTGAACAAGAGCAGGGCACACACATGCTTAAGAGGAGCTATCCTCCTGTGCATCCAGTGCTGACAATAAAGGAATACCTGCCTTCTAATGCTCACAAATTGAGTTTTAGGGGTCTCTTATTTGCTGATTTATGGTAACAGGAGCAGGATCTGGGGACCCCTGACTAAGCTGACAGTGCAGTGCAGCAGTGGGTCTTACCGGAGATCTCCGGTGTGCTTGCGCATGTGGACGTTCAGGTAGTGCTTCCACTTGGTGATGTACCCACACTCAGTGCACATGAAGTTCTTGTCGTTGGAGTGGGTCAGCATGTGCTTGGACAGGTAGCTCACATCCCGGCAGGTGAAGTCGCAGAGCTCACACTTATGAGGTTTCTCTCCTATATGCAACACATGAACACCTTCAGCATGACAGCCAGATAAAGCAATATGGTGGGGAAACCAGCTCAGCAGGAGCTGGGGGTGACAGAAGGGGCAGGAAATGCCACAACTTCAGTCAAGAGACACTGGGGTGGCAGAGCCAGTGGTGGGACCCAGGAGCCCTGACCCAGTCCTCCCTGCCCACCCAGAGCCAGAACAGGGACACCACCCCCATCTCAGCTTGGCTCTTTGGACCCCCACAGTGGACACCCACCAGTGTGCAACAGCATGTGCCGGATGAGCACCCGCTTGTGTGCGGTGGCGAAGGCACACTCAGTGCACTTGTGGATCTTCTCGTTGGCATGCATCTTGCCCACATGATCGTGAAACTCCACAGGGTTGAAAGTGGCATAGGGGCAGAAGCTGCACTGGAGCTGCTCGCTGCCCGGGTGCCCCTGCTTCTTATGCTTGCGGAAAACGTGCTTGTTGGAGCAGATGAAGTCGCACTGCTGGCAGTGGAAGGCGTAGTGGGTTTTCCGGTGAGCCTCCATGGCCTCAGCCGTGCCAAAGAGCAGCGAGCAGGCGTGGTATTTGCACTCCACCGCCTTGATGCCATGAGCATCCTTGAGGTGACGGACAAACTCCTTCCGGTCCTCCGCACAGTAGTCGCAGCCTCCCTGGAAGCAGGTCAGCCTCTTGGGTTCAGCTTTGTGAGTCTTCAGGTGCTCTTTGAGTGCCTGGCTGAGTCGAAACTTCTCTTCGCAGACAGGGCAGGAGTAAACATCAGAGTAGAAGTTGGAGATGTCCTCGTGCATGCTGGCCATATGGCGGTTGAGGGCATTCTTCTCCACTGAGCTGTAGTGGCAGAGCGGGCAGCGATGGGTCTTCTCGCCTGTCTCCCGCATCACGTGGATTTTCAGCTTGCTCTTGCTGGTGAAGTACTTGTGGCAGTTGGGGCACTGCAGGCTGGGGTCGGGGAAGTGCAGGTGGAGGTGCTCCACCAGGTGTGTCCGCTTCTTGAAGCACCGCTTGCATTCAGGGCACATGTGGGTTTTGTAGAGGTACTCGGAGCCCTCTGCAACATCCCCTGGAGGAGCAGAGGAGGGGGAGCAATCAGGGAAAAAGATGGAGAGCACAGGCAGATGTTCTGTTCTTGATCCAGCTGTGCTAGGGTGAGGGCTTAAACACATGTGGTCGCACAGCAGCCACCTTCTTGGAGGGACTGTCACCACACCGAGCCACCAGCACCCTTCCTGGTGAGCTCTTTCCAGCTCAAGGCAAAGCACAGCGTACATCAGGCCTGCCCACGTGCCCCTGATCCCCAAATGCAGGCAGGCCTTTGCCTAAACTGACAGTGGGTGTGAACAGGAAAAAGAAGGGACAGATTTGCTTGGGCAGAGGTCGAGGGAACAGTGCACTGGTACATGCAGGAGATGTGGGGTTACTGGATGGCATAGGACCCCCAGGCCCCATAAGCCTGACCCACATTTCCACACCAGCCCCAAAGCTGTGCTGCTTGTTCACAACACAAAGCCTGAGTAGCTCCTGGTAGGGCCCCTCTTCCCACCTTTGAAGTGGTGTGCCCGTGACACTCTGGTTTTCTCAGGAGCTGCCTTCCCATCCTCTTTGGCCTCGGTTTCACAGGGGCTCTCGCCGTCCTCCTCCTGCGACTCATCCCCATCGCTGTCCGAGTCCTCTTCTCCAGCTGATGCTTTCTGCCCCTTTAAGGCATTGTCCTTGGTACCTGCAGGGTTTGCTGGCCTGGCTTCTGCTGCACTGGCTTCCCAGTCAGGGTGGTAATTTCCTGCCTCCTCCTGCCCTTCTGCTGCTGCTTCAATGGGGAATGACAGTGATCATCATGCTAAAGGAAAGAGAGACCATCCTGTCCCCACCACGCCCACACAGGAAAACCTCCTGGCTGAGATAGGGTCACAAACTGTGGTGTGAAGGGATGAAAGAATGTAGGGTTCCCAGCACTCCAACCTTGTCCCCCCACTCCTCCCAGTTTTAACTATGATGCATGGACACAGTCAGCCTCTGCAACACCCACAGCCCCCAACGCCCCACACAGCCATACCTGATGGTAGGACACAGCACTGCTCAAGGCCGTGGGGGTCTGAACTGCAGGAGCCACCTGTTTCGGGCATCTTGGACAGGGCCTCTGTGGTGTGGCCCTTCCTGTGCTGCCAGAAGAGCTTGGCATTGGCTGTGACAAAGTCGCAGTGGCCACAGTGGAAGGGGAAGTGTGTCCGGTGGTGCTGCTCCATAGCTGGGCGGCTGGGGAAGAGCAGCGGGCAGGCCCGGCAGGCGCAGGACACGGGTGAGGCCCCGTGCAGGTGGCGCAGGTGACTGCGCAGCTGCTTGCGGTCCTCCGTGGTGAAGTGGCAGCCCCTCTCCGGGCAGGGCAGGATTCCTGGTGGGGCACGGTGGGTCTTGAAGTGCTCCTTGAGCTGGGCAGGCTGCGTGAACACCTCCTGACAGATGGGGCACAGCAGGTGCTCGGGAGCAGAGCCTTCCTGTGCACCAGCTCCGGGCAGCTCTGAGCCCCCTGGCTCGCTCTGGCCCTCACTGGCAGAAGTCAGCAGTGCCCTAGGGAGTTCCAGGTGCCCAGGAGGGGCCAGCAGCAGGCACTGGTGCTGGGACAGCAGGGAGGCCTCTGGGAAGCTCTGGCCACACCTCTCGCAGAAGTACAGCTCCACCACTTTGACCAGAACTTCTACAGAGAGCAAGGGGCAAGTGTTAGATAGGGCTTTCACCAGGCCCAGAGTGTGGGACTGGTGGTTCAGTTCTAGCTCTGGACAAGGAGGATAAAGCCCTGTTGCCACAAATTACATTTTGGGAACCCCAGCCCACCCCCTGCCCACGGTATCCCAGGACATCTCCTATAAGAAAGGGAACACCACCACCCAGGTGACCATGTTGACCAGGTCTGTCCTTTTGCATCTTTGAGGCATGCACAGATGTGAAGCTGGCTTGGCCCCATTCCCAGTAGGACGTGCAGGACGTGCCCACATGTGACCCATGGGGAAAGCATGTTGGGGGTACCAGTCCAGGTGGAGATCTCCACCTGGTCCCTACTGACAGCCTGGATTGACCACATCACCCAGCACACAACTCTCACAGCCACTCTCCCCATCTACACCCCCAGCCTGTGCCAGGTCTGCACTTAATGGTGGCACCAGACTGGTGATGCACATGAGATCAGAGACACAAGGGCACCTGGTCTCCCCAGGGTGCTGGCTGGAAGGGATAGGGACACTGGTCAGACTTCTCTCCCTCCGCTGAGTGTTGCTGGGCACACACTGCCCTCCCTGCACCCCATACCTGTGGCACTGGCTGTGTTGCTCAGCGTCATGTTGCCAGCCACTGTCTCGATGAATATTTCTACATTGCTTCCTTCAGCGTGAGCCCCTTCCCCAGGCACTGATGCCTCTGCCAGCAGCAAGTCCTGGCTGGCAGTCAGTGGGGGTGTCCCAGCCAGACCGGTGCTGGCCACACCAGGGCTTCCCACAGCTCTTGCCTCTCCTGGTGTGGGCAGGAGCAGCTCTGAACACATGGCCTCCATCTCCCTGCTGGCACCCTCAGAAACAGTCACTGCTGCACTCATTGTCCCCAGGCACTGACTTGGTGCTGGCCAGGACAGCCTCTCACTCTAAAACAGAAGAAAAGAGCTTTAAAACAGAGACAACCCAGAGGCCCAACAGGGGGACAACCTACAGTGCCAGTCCCCAGGCAGGGCACGGACCGGGGATCTCAATGCTGGCTCCTTTTTGCTGTGCCTCCAGCGGGCCGCTGGCAATCCCCAGCAGACAGGAGTGCAAGGACACCTGTACCCTCCCCAAAGATGCCTGGGGGCCTCTTCCCGAGCCCAACACCCAGCGCTCGCCTCCTGGGTCCCGCTGGGCCCAGCCCCGAGCCCGAGCCCACCCCCCAGAGCTGTGCCCTGTCTCCAGCGAGCAGGTGCCCCCTGCGAGTCCCGCCCGGCCGGGCCCCACCAGCCGCTCACCGCTCACCCCGGGCTGTCCCCAGCCGGTCTCCCCGCCACCCCTTCACGCCGGGCTGTCCCCAGTCCCCCCATCCCCTCACGCCGGGCTGTCCCCGGTCCCTCACCCCGGGCTGTCCCCGCCGCCCCGGGGCCCCCAGCCCCGGCACATCTCGGTGGTGGCGCCGGGCGGCAGGAGCGCCGCTCTTTGTGCCGCTCGCGCGGCCGCTCTGCCCGGCCCCCGGTGCCGCTCTATGGTGCGGGCGGAAGCGGCGCGGGCGGAAGCGGCAGCGGGCGGAAGGGACGCAGGTGAGCGGCGGGACCGGCACCGGGAGCAGGACCGGACCGGGAGCGGGCCCGCGGGTGGCGGGGGGGTCCCGCGGGGTGCGGCCGGGCCGGGCCGCTGCTGCGGGGCAGGGTCGGTGCGCGTCCGGGTCTCCTGCAGGGGAAGGTGGGGCTCCTGCCGCGGGGCTGGGGGACCCTGCCCACGGGACGCCCGGGAAGGGGGAAGGTCGGGGAGCTGGAATGCTGCGTGAGGGAGTGGAGCGGGTGTGTGTGTCTGCCGGGGGAGGCTCCTCCTCGTCCCCTGTACCTGACAGACCTGCTGAAGGAGCTGGAGAAGCTTCAGGCCCCCTGAGCATGCGGGTGTTGGAGGTGCTTGGAGGTGCTGCTTCCACCGCAGCCATGTGACCGTTCCCACCCGGCTCTCGGCTCGGCCTGGAGACACGCCTCAGCTTTTTCAAACAATAAACCTTAAATGATTGCAGTGCTCACGATCTCTCGTTGTTTAAAGAATAAAATCCTGTAAAACTCTGGGCTTCTTGCCTTGGCTGAGGAAGCAACACATGCTCCCGCGCTTGCTGGAGAGCCTCCAGCTCCTGGTCCCCTCCTGCGTGGCTGGCCCAGAGAGGGAGGGGGCTCCTGCAGCCAGCAGCATCCTGAACTCCTGGTAATAAGCACAGATGTGGGAGATCCAGATGAGCCAGGCAGCCTTTCACCTTGAGAACTGGCCACTACAAAGGCCAGAGAACTGCGGGCGATCTGTTGCGTTCCTTCTTGCCACTCAGTCTTTCCACACAGGTTTGTTTGTGGAGCACAGAAACGATGCTGTGGAAAGGAGCTGCTTAACCTCCCACGATGCCCTTTTCTGACTTTGTCCTAGCCCTAAAGGACAACCCATACTTCGGGGCTGGGTTCGGCCTCGTCGGGGTGGGCACGGTCCTGGCAGTGGCTCGTAAAGGGGCCCAATTTGGGCTGGTGGCTTTCAGGCGCCACTACATGATCACCTTGGAGGTGCCCAGCAAGGATAAGAGCTACCAGTGGCTGCTGAACTGGGTGTCCCATCACGCCAAGCACACGCAGCACCTCAGCGTGGAGACGTCGTACCTGCAGCATGAGAGCGGGCGTGTCAGCACCAAGTTTGACTTTGTCCCTAGTGTCGGGAACCATTTCATCTGGTAAGGGGGGCAGGGGAAACCAGTGTGGGGATTGAGCCTCACTTTGGCAGCTTGGGGGGCCTGTGGAGGGACTGGAGAGGATCCTGCCTCCTCCCTGGATCTGGGTAGGGCAGGAAATAGCAAGAAGAGCCTGTACTCAGCAGTGTGATTTCTTTACCTGAGATGAATGTTCTTGATTGGTGAGCCAGGCTGGGCGCAACTGGGTGGTGCTGGATCCCTGCACCCCAACCCTGTCTTCCCACCCAGGTATCGCAGGAAGTGGATTCGCATTGAGCGCAGCCGGGAGACACAGGTGATTGACCTGAACACAGGGACCCCCTGGGAGTCTGTCACCTTCACTGCGCTGGGCACCGACCGGGAGATCTTCTTCAATATCCTCCAGGAAGGTCTGTGAGGGAACTGCGTGGGGTCCTGCTGGGAACAGCCTACTCCCTGGAGATGCCTAGGGCTTCACGGGAGATCCTCTTCCCTGGCAGCTGTCCTTTCTGCCTCTCTCCTCAGCCCGGGAGCTGGCGCTGCAGCAACAGGAGGGGAAGACGCTCATGTACACGGCTGTGGGAGCAGAGTGGCGGCAGTTCGGCTTCCCCCGCCGCCGCCGCCCTCTCAGCTCTGTGGTGCTGGAGAAGGGCGTGTCGGAGAGGCTGGTTCAGGATGTGAAGGAGTTCATCAACAATTCCAAGTGGTACAGTGACAGAGGCAAGGTCCTGGTGTGGTGTCCTCTGTACCATGTGGGGTGGGGCAGGATGCTTGTGGTTCTCTCTGGAGTCAGCTGTGGAGAGATTTTTCCTTGCTGCTCACCTTCCCTTGGTGTATCCTCTGTGTGTGCTCAGTCAGCAAAGCCCTGTGGCTCTGGGGGAAGGGACCTCCAAGCAATCCAGCTAGTTATCCCTAAAGAACACTGTCTTCCTAGGAATCCCCTACCGAAGAGGCTACCTGCTGTACGGTCCTCCTGGCTGTGGGAAAAGCAGCTTCATGTGAGTGTTGTCAGCTGGTTAACAGCAGTTTTCACACCAGCAGCCTGCTCTGGGGCACAGCAGTCTCGGATGGAAAGGTGTGAATGAGTTTGGGTTTGGAAACAGGAGTGGGCTGTGCCTCATGGGTGGTACCTGGTGTTTTGCTGGTGCTGTGACAGGTCAGGGTGATGAGCCCTTTGTGCCCTTGCTTTGTACAATGCTGCGCAGCAGGCTGAGCAGGGGCTCCTGCACCCCCCTCAGATCTGATCCCTCCTGGGAAAAGACACTTCTGCCCTCGCCCCTGCTGCTGTCTGGGGAGATCTGGTTCTTCTTCAACTCTGTGTTTTCCTACTGTGATTCACCCCTGTGGTTTGTGTCCTTTCCAGCACAGCCCTGGCCGGGGAGCTGGAGTACAGTATCTGCCTGCTGAGCCTTAGTGACCACAGCCTCTCTGACGACCGCCTCAACCACCTCCTGAGCGTGGCACCGCAGCAGAGCATTATCCTGCTGGAAGATGTGGACGCTGCCTTCATCAGCCGGGACCTGGCTGCTGAGAGTGAGCACTGCCCCCATTCCTGGGCCAGCAACTGGAGGGATGTTTGCCAGCTGTACGGGGGAAATGTTTGGACTCTGGGCTGCTCTGCTACACCAGCAGAGACCAGGAGTGGGCATCTCTAATGGCCTCAAGGACCTCTCTAGGCTATAAAGGAAAATTTGGGTCCTTTATCCTCAGGCAAAGATCCTTCTCCTGCCTAGCTATTTTCAGTATGAGGGAGAAGGTGGCTTTCCCTCTCGTTCTCTGTTTGGGTTCCCATGGGTGCATGTGGGCAGGGGTGGTTATTGTGCTACCAGCCAGGCAGAAGGTCAGCCTTGGAGCAGGGAGGGAGTGGGGAACTTGGTGTAAGGTGATGGGAAGGTGGCCTGCAAGCCTGCGCAGGGTCAGTGGCCGGTGGCTGTGATCTCAGACTCCGCTGTTCCTAGACCCGGCCGCGTACCAAGGGATGGGGCGCCTGACCTTCAGCGGCCTCCTCAATGCACTGGACGGTGTGGCCTCCACAGAGGCCAGGATTGTCTTCATGACCACCAACTATGTGGACAGGTCAGAGCTGCCCCCTGGGAAGGAATAGGGTGGGTGGCACAGGAGAACCTTGCCCCCTTTTGTTGGGCTTTATGGAGGGCTCTTTGAATCCTCCAGCAGGGAGACTGGTGCTTCAGGTTTTCCAAATCCTCCTTTTGGATGCAAATTCCTCGATTGCTAAGCAGGATTCCTTTTGCTGGAGCCTCAGATGCTTCCTTGCTGATCAGAATATGGTTATTCCCTTCAGGAGTGGTACCAGCTTCCTGCCCATGGGGAGCTGCAGGTTTTGGGATTGTGGCCATGCTGTGAGTGAAACACTGGCCCCACGTGTAGCCCACTGGGTTGGTGGGATGCAGCCTGGGCTTGCAGCACCTGGTCAGCCACTGCACCATGGCAGGCTTGGCTCACTCTAGACCAAGCTATCATAGGGGGTTGTTCAGAGGTTGCTTATGGGACAGAGATGGGCAGAACTGTTTCACAGGACTTGTTTGTCCTTGTCCAGAGCCAGCCCTTCCCCAGCTCTCTCCTTTCTTTTGGGTTGATTTCCCCCCTCAGTATCCCCAGGGAGGAACCTGTTCCAGCCCTTTACCATCTCACAGTTCATGGCACTTTGCAGACAGGATGTGGGCTGTGCTAGTGTGGATGGGGACTTCCTGCAGGACCCACCCTGTAGAGATGCTTTGGTCAGGTTTTCCAGGCTCCCCTGTTCTCTTGACAGGTTGGACCCAGCCCTGGTGCGTCCTGGCCGTGTGGATCTCAAGCAGTACGTGGGCCATTGCTCCCACTGGCAGCTTTCCTGCATGTTCCAGCGCTTCTATCCCGAGCAGCCCCCGGCTGCAGCCGAGCGGTTTGCGGAGCAGGCGCTGGCCGTCTCCAAACAGATCAGTGCTGCCCAGGTGCAGGGCCACTTCATGCTCTACAAGATGGACCCTGAAGGAGCCATTTCAAACATAAGCTCTATCCTGCTGTGACCCAGGGCCAGCTACACTGAGAGGATTGGGACAAAGACATGACCATCCCAGAGATGCCATGAAGCTGCCCAGATGCACAGGCCAGGTGTCTGTTCACCTCTACCCCTCCAATGCCTTGTTTTGGAGAGTCAGAGCTGCCAGCCTTGCAGCAGGGAGAGGGAAATCAGCTCTTGCTGCTCCCCAGATTTGTGTGCTACTGCACCAGCCCTGCTCACCTGCGTGTGCCTCATGTTGGGATTTCTGTAAGCTGCCAAGGCTCCTGGGTATAAATCCTCTTCCTTGTGGGTCAGCCTGGGGGTTTCTTTGGGGCAGGACATCGGGGTGCTACACTGCTAAAAGCTGCTGGTTTTTTAAAGGACAGCGTTCTCACTGGTTTGTGAATATCCTCTGTGAAGTGCACAATATGGCTCTTGTCTCTCTGGTCCCTTTTTGTGATAGTTGCCCCACTTATCCAGCTGCTGGTCCAGACTCCTCCTGACCAGAGCCTGGCACAGCCAGTATTGCAAATCCAGAGTGTTTCAGAACAAAAGCTGTTCTAAGAGACTGGTTGTCCCTCAGGCTTCAGGCTGGTGCCACTGTTCCTGCCCTGATGAGCTGTGATGCCAAGCTGCAGATCCGCTTGGATATCATTCCTTGGTGGGCATGACTGTCCCTCCTGCCAGAGATGTGGGGCCGTGGAGATACGTGAGGGCAGACGAGAGGCTTAGGTCAGTTAGAGAGTATCTTCCCAAGAGCTTTCCCCTCCCAGTCCCTCTTTCAGAATCTTTTAAATCAGTTTCCCCTGAGCCAGTCCTGTGTTCATGTGTTCAGTTTTGGGGGGCTGCATCACCTTAGCGGGGCTGTGGGAGCTGGTTCCAGGCCAAACTCAAACTGCTCAGCCCTCCTCTTGGCTCTGCCCTCTGGGGGCACAGTCAAGAGCACATGGAAATACAAAGGGGCCCAAGCAATAGCACCTGGATGGATTTTGGTGCAAACAGGTGCTGCTTTGGTGCAAGCTCAGACTTACACAGATGTGTCTGTGAGTGAAGGGTTAGTCCTGTGGGCACAGTGGAGGGGGTGGCTCCTGGAGCAGGATGCTGCTGTTGGCATCTCAAACCCTGTGTTTGGCCATCTTATAGAGGCTGGGCGCCCAGATCCAACCCTCTTCCCTCAAAGCTGAGGGTCAAAACTGGCCAGTGAGTGGCTGGCAAATGTCTCACAGCTGTTGGGGAAGATGGGGGTGGTGAGGGGGAGCCTGAAGGGCCTGATGCCACCACACGAGAGCACAGGCAACATCAAATCACACTGCTTGCTTTTAATAGTGTTAATGCTACACACGCTGCCGGTGCCTTTCTGCCCAGCCTGGGGCTTTTGCCAGTTAAAGGCCTCACAACAGCCTTGTGAGGTAGGTGAGTGACACAGGCGGACACCAACCAAGGGGACCCAGGTCAGGGTGCAGGCTCCATTCCTCCCCTTTGACCTGGAGGTTTGGTTTGTTTAGCCCAAACTCATTTCAACACACTGTTGAAAAATGCCCTCTGCTCCAGGCTGACAGCAGTGAGTCACAGAGGGCCCATCCTAAATTTTCCAGGAAAAAAGCCCTTCCCTCTAATACATCTGGCATTTGATCGAAGTTGACCAAATCGTCACTCCATGGCTGAATTCCCTTACTCCAAACATGGCACAGCAGCTTCCCTGCTGAGAGTAAGCCTTGCTCACCAGAGGAAGCCAACAAGGAGCTTCAGCTGCTATGAGGGGCAAAGATCTTCCGTGTTTCTTTCAGGACACAATCACAGCAGTTTCACAAGTAAAGCAGGAGGCAGCAGACAAGCACCAATGTCAGGTAAAATTTACACCTTTTCACCCAAGTGCAGGAAGGCTGTTCCAGAAACCAGCTGAACAAGGACAGAGAGAGCACTGAAGTAAAATTAGGGCTGTCTTCAGGAAGGAAGAGCTCAGCCCTTCTCCTCAGCAGGGCACAACATCTGGCTCTCAGATTACCAAGCCTAGGACAGGTAGTGTGGGCTCAGACCAAGGAGGGAGAAAAAAAGTCATGCTTTTAGAGCATTAGGGTTGAAAATAGGTCAGTGTTAGAAATTTAAGCACGGAAGGTTCTTGGGCAGCAGGTCAAACCAACCCCTTCAGGTCAAGGCCAGGTATAGAGTAAGCAGGGCAGTAGGTAAGGAGGATCCAGACAAGAGAGAGGTTTATGCACCCTTCACGTGCCAAAGATCAGTTGGGCAGATGTGTGTGCTGCCAAATGCCTTCCTGGTACATACAGCCTTTGGTTTCTTTGGAACCTTGGGGATCTTGCATGAAATTCTGACAAGTCCAGTGTGGCACTGCTATTTTTGCACTCAGGAGGAAGACAGTAACAACATATGTGTGGCCAAAAAAGAGATGGGGTGGGGGACAAGGCACAAACAAGTGTGAAGAAATCAGTACTGTCCAGGTGAGGCAGAGCTCTTACAGTGAGCCAGGCAAAGCAGGGAGCCCTCCTGCCATACAGAAGTGCCACAGAAGGTCTCTGCCCTGGCCCTGGTTGTAGGGAGCAGGGAGGGGAGTGAAAAATACCAGGGATCAACACCTTTGCTCCAAACAGCAATGAACAGGAGCAAGAGGGCAGAGAAAACAAAGGGAGTAGGCTCTGGAGAAGACCCAATGAATTAATTTAATAGCATCCCACTTCAGAGACTTGGGATTGCCCTTCACGGCTCTGGAGTGAGACACCATTTAAATCTGTGAAGCAGCAGCAGATGAAACTGCACCAAGTTAGTTTAAACAGCAAAAATCCTCATTTTGAAATAAGAACAGCTCGAAGATGAAAGGAGGGTAGCAGTATCTAAAGTACTGGGGCATGTCTTCAGGTTGTTGGAAGTGCCAAGACAGCCTGGCCTTAGAGGGGGATTCCAACAGATATACATTGCAAAGCAGAGTGCTTTGAGAGACAGGCTTCCTGGGGAAGTGGGAGACAAGCTGAAGCTGCAGCCACCAGACAGCCCTGACCTGCCAATGTGTTAACTTAAGCTTAACTTGGATCTCCTGGCTGGGACTGGGAAGTGTCCTGCATACAAAGGACTTTCCTGGCCAAGCCCATCAGCTGAACATCAGCCAGGGCTGCAGGAGAAGCCATGTTGTCTCCAAGGGACAGGGACAACAGCTGAGAAGGTGCTCTGAGAAGGAAAGGAGGACAGAGTAAGCTGAGCTGAGGTCCAGGCTGCTGCCCTGGCACAGCCTCATCACTTGGCACCACCATGGCTCCACGGGGACACAGGCTTCCAGGGAAGATCTTGCCGCACCTCTGTCTCTGCCATGGCACCATGCTCAGTCCACTTGCTCTGTAGGTGTGCACGTTTCTTGGCAGCTCACATATAGGGATGATGGCTGCAGGTCTCCATTTAAGGCTACCTCTGTCCGCTAGATCCTCTGAGATCAAGGCTGATATGATCTGTCAAGATTCTGCTTCTCCAATGCTGGTGAGAGCCAGCTGCTCATGCCAGGATGCTTCACTCTCCTCATCCCTGGTGACACTGCCTAGGTACGTCCCATGTGCCATCTGCCTCCTCCCTTCCAAGGGATATGGTGTCTGCTTGCTACTGTTTCACCAGAGCCTTCACTGTTCTCCCCAGAAATAGCCCTTCCTTCCCACAGCCCAGCCCCTCATCATTCCTGCTAGGAGCCACTCTCCTTCTCAAGATGGGCTTCTCGATGTCCACTGGGCCTGAACACCCCTCGCCCTCTTGGTGCTCTGGGGTAGGAACCATGCTCCTGAACTCTGGATCTTTCCCACCTCCCACAATCCCAGGGCCTGTGGTGACCCTGCCAGCTGGGAGCTGCTCTGTGGTCACTGTGGTTGAATGTCAGGTTCTCCTTTTTCTTGCCCCGGGCCTCAGCCCCCTTCTCTGCACTCCATCTCTCCACATCACGGTGCTCCTCTTTCAAGTCCACAGCCTCCATTACTGGTGAGGGATCTTCAGGGCACAAATCCTTTCTTTCAGCCAAGGGAGCAGCCCTGCTTCTACTGTGAGGCTTTGGAAACTCCTGACTGTGCCTTCCAGCAGGTCTCCGCTCTGGTCTCTGGCTGAAGCCTCTGGGCCCCCTGGAGCCATGGAGTGGATGACAGGCTTCTTCTCCCGGTTCCTGCAAGCCACTGCATGGCTGCCTGCCCTGGCCTCTGGGGCCTTGCCTCTCCCCTCTGTGCTTCTCCCTCTTGCTCGGTTGCTCCCTGGGCACAGCAGGCCTCTCAGGCCGCCCAGGTTCTGCCCTGGCCTCCGATGCCCCAGCTGGCTCTGGAATCGAGGCTTGGCCGGGTGGCTGGGGCCTGTCTGCAGCATCTGCACTTACCGGCAGCTGAGAGGCAGCAGCTGCTTGGCCTGGATCCGCAACAGCTGGAGGCTGAAAGAAAGAGGCCACCTGTGAAGAAAAGGACAGGGGTGTCCCGCAGCAGATGACAGCGCTCGGTCCTGCAGCCCAGGGCCCCCTCAGCAGATCTCTGCCCCCAGTGCCATACCGCCTGGAGGCTGATGAAAAAGCGGTTCCTCTCTGCTTCGGGGTCGATGATACCCCCCTTTTCTTGTTGTCTCTTGAAAATTAGGCGCAGTTCTTCCTGGTGCTGCAGCATCTTGGCATCTGGCCTGTACGGCTCCTGAGCAGCAGAAAACAAGGCAGGGTAAGGGCTCTCTCCACACCTGGCAGGGTAGGAGCTACTCCCCAAACCCTCCTTTGATTGCACAGTGCCAGGCACCTGCTTCCCTTTGCCACACTGCTAGGCCTACAGATGCACGGAAAATCCCTGGACAGAGGCAGAGCAACCCAGTGCAGACCCACTGTTCCTGCAGTGACTGCCTTGGGATGTCCTGCTGGGATGTCCCACCTGTGGGGTGGGATGCAGAGCAGCTACCATCAGGTCACTCTCCTGACCTGATTATATCCCAGTGAGTGCAGAGACATGTCCCATGGTAGAATCACCTCTCCCCCAGCACATCTGCTCAACTCAGGGCTATACAACTGAGCCTTCTCTCTGTGAGCTGCCCTTTGGATGGGACATCTGGGAGGACCTGAGAGTGTGCATTTGTTCATCTGTTACAGTGTCCCAGTTGAAGCTACACAGTGGGGGGGGCACAGCTGGGAAGGTGAGCCCCCATCTCTTACCATAGGGTGCTGTGGGGGTGGTGCTGCCTTCAGAGCAGAGAGATCATAGACCAGGGTCTCCCGGCAGACAGGGCACTGCACACCAACTTCCTGTGGGGAGGCAAAAGGTGATAGCAAACCCTGTCTGTGACTCAGCTCATGCACTGCCCAATAAACCCACCCTGGAAGTGGAACAGGGTGGTCTTCTTCACTCTTCTGACAGGGTAGGGAAGCCCAGGGGAATTCCAGAAATGTGAAAGCAGCCTGGGTCTCAATGACTGCTCTGGAAGGAGTCTCCACATGATGCACACTAGGATTTGTGCTCCAGCAGCTGGCTGCTGTGCAAACCACCCATCAGCACCTATGGCTTCAGTCCTCCTCAGCCTAGGATCTATTTTTCTCTGCTTTAAAGTGGAGCATGTCATCTGCTCAGCTGCACTGTTTGCTCTGCAGCTGAAAACTGTTCCAACATCTGCTCAGGCAGATTTTATCATCCCAGAATGCAGGTAATTGTGTTTACCCTGCTGCAAACCACTGCAGTTCAAGGACTAGGGAAGGAGCTCTCTTTTCTAAGTCCCAGAAGTCCAGAAGTCCAAAAATGCAACTCCCCTGCCCCCTCCCACAGCATGCACTAACCCAGAGATCCAGTAAATCAACATCTTTGGCTGGAAAGGGACCATGGAGATCACTTGGTCTAATCCCTGCTCTGATTCTCAGCACAGGCACGACACTGACTGTGCTGCCAGGTCACACCGGCCCTCATTCCATGTCCCAAAGAGGGTGATACAGATGTCACGAAGGGTCTGTGCAGGGGCCAGAGGAGGGGGCCCATGGCCTGGTACCTGTTTGGGGGATGGTGAAAGGTGTTGATCTCTCTCCTCCTGCTGCATGAGGATCTCCTCCTCCATGTGCTGGGCATAGCGGGCCAAACAGTGGGAGTGGAAATAGTGGTAGCACTGGGTCTTTGTGAAGGCTTCTCTCTCCTGTCAAAAAGGGCAGCTTTGAAGGATTTCTTAGCACAGGGTTGTGTAGCCTCCCCAGCTGAGGTGGAGGTGGATTTTCACTTCCATGTCAGTGGTGGCAATGGGAAACTAGTGCTGGCTAGAGCCACCTAACATCTTCTGCTGAGCTTCATCTCCACTTCCTCAGCAATTACTGGGGTGCTGCTCCTTGTTTCAAGTGTTAGAAACACTCCTAATGTCAAGATGCAAAGTTTTTGTGACTGATTTCTCTGTGTGTGTTCCTGTGTAAGCAGCAATCTTCCCACCTGATGTGTTCTCCTTCTTAGGCAGACTTTCCTTGCAACCCAGACAAGACCAGCTCCCAGCCCCCACAGACCTCAGTATCCATCACACATGGTTCCAGTCCCTCCTGACCACCTGTGTGCTGAACTCCAGGTGAGGTACGACTTATACAGGGAAGCTGAATACACCAGCAACTATCCTCAGACCCTACCCACTTCTCTGGAGATCCTCTGGCATCTCTTGCTGCCCCTGTGCCGTTTCTGCAGATGATTATTTCAGGCCGATGGGGAGAGTGGCATGTATCACGAAGGCCCACGTGCAGTCGGATCACCCAGAGATCAGGGTAGGGGGCTGCTGGGGCACACCCTGGCTCCAGGCTGATATCCCAACCCCAGGTTCCCCATTCTCTTGCCTCACTTCCCAGACAGCTTGCAGGGCCAGGAGAGACATGCCTACCTGGAATCCATAAAGGCAGATCACACACTGTCCATGAGGAATGTTGTTGTCAGTGAGAATCTCCTTCCCCTTCTGTGGGAGCATTAAAGCAAACATTTTACTCACTGGCTTGCCCATGTGTTCAGGGCTCTCCCACCCCTCGGGCAGTCAGGGACCAGTCTGTGGTTGGTAACCCTCAACCTGCCCCATCTCTCACCTCAATCAGTTCATAGAGCACCTCTGTCCCCAGCCTGGCTTCAGCAACACTTCTGAGGGTCTGGGATATCCTACAGCAAAGCAGCAGAAATGCTTAACACAAATTTAGCTACACCTTTTCACTGTCCCACATACCTGCCATCCCGTTATGGTGACACGAGGAACAAACAGAGCACTGGCCTTCAGGCTTTGCCTGGAACACAGGATGGGCATAAGTGCACACACACATTCCTGTGCTACCCTGGCTCCCACAAGTTGGTGCACAGGAAGCCTTAGTCCTGACAGGACTTGCAGGAGTAGGTTTGCTGACAGCCTCAGCTTGAGCTTGGTTTTGGTGAATCCCAGGCTTTATTCATCTGATGGCAGTCCTTGAGCAGGTGTGGTGGGAGCCACTGGCCACACATTCCACTGCACCAGTGACTGAAGCACAAAGGCAACAACAGGCTGCCTGAGTCAGTCCCACCTCTGTCAGAGCACGACTGGCAGCTTCCAAGGCCCCGGGGATTCAGATTACATTTCAGGGGGATCACAGAACAACAACCACAGGGTGGACCCCTCGGTGTCAAATTCGGGACCAGTGGCTCCCATGAGAGTTAGGACAAAGAGATTTAGGGACCTGTATCCATCCGTTAACCAGACACGGGAAGTCATGTGATTTAATCAACGGTTTTCCACAAGTTTTGCTTCCTGGATCTCTGGAGGAAAGGATTGCCCTCTCCCTGCCCTCCTGGCACTCACTTTTGAATTTGCTCATCTGACAGGCCCCGCGGGTTCCTGATGGAGATCTCCGGAGTTTTATTAGGATACTAGGAGAAAAAAAGAGAAACGTCCAAAGCACAACAGGAAAGGTGGAGAGGCCCTGGGCGGGGCGGAGCAGGGGCGTGGGGCGCGGGCAGCCTACCTGCGGGGGCACGGAGAGCACCAGGGTGAAGCGGACGTACTGGGAGTCCTGGTCCTCGGCCGTGGCGGGGTGCAGGGTGATGCTGACCTCCCAGGGCTCCCACCTGGAGGAGGGGCAGGCCGGGGTGAGCGGGGCGGCGCGGGGCCGGGCCGGGCCGGGCATGTGGGACGCGGGACGTACCTGCCGCGGCCCCGCGCCACCCGCAGCTCCTCCAGGTAGATGGACTCCAGAACCTCCAGCTCCGGCAGCAGCGCCCTGCAGGGACCGAGGGTGCAGGGGTCAGACGGCTCCCCTGGCCGGGGGGTGCGGACCGCGGGGCCCGGGGAGGGTGCGGGGGTGTTACCAGTCCGCCGCCTCCTCCCCGGCCGCCGCCATCGCCGCGCTCGCCCGGAAGCGGAAGCGCGGAGCGCGTTGCCAAGCGACGGCGCGGCGGCTGCGGGAGCGGGGCGGGAGCGGAGTGGGGCTGGGCCCGGCCCGGCCCGTTCCTGCTGCGGGAAATCCGTGGGATCCGTCCAACCCCGGGGGTGCGGCGGGGGCATCGGCCGGGGCTCGGGGCTTGTCCTGCCCTGGAGCCGGTGGGCAGGGATAGAGCCTGGCGTGGGGGGGGGACGGCGATACCCGCCCAGGGGACCCGGCCCCGGTGCAGCCCCGCGGTGAGTGGGAAAGCCCCGTCCCTCGGGATCGGGGATCGAAAGGGGTGCAGCCCTGCCTTCCCAGCGCTGGCACTGCCCGGTTCCATCGCGGCTGCGGCCGGTGCCCCGTGGCCGCCGGTGGCGGAGGGAGAGAGGGCGAAGCGCTGCTCCTCACCGTCCGCTTTGCCTCGGCAGCTCAGCGGCCCCGGCCCGAGCGATGGAGCGCTATCACATCCTGGAAATGATCGGCGAAGGCTCCTTCGGGCGCGTGTACAAGGGGCGCCGGAAACACAGCGCCCAGGTGAGGGGAAAGGACCGGGCGTCTGCTCTGTGGTGCCGGGGACTGATTTCTGTTACCTCTTGGGTTCTAAGGCTCTGCCAGGCCTTTGGGACTCAGCACTGATTCGGTTTTCTGCTGACATACCTGGCCAGCTCCTGATGTCTTCCTGGGCCAAAAACCTGGCCACAGTGTTTGCAGCATAGTCTAGAAGGTTCCAAATAAAGGACAGTAATCACTTCCCTTCTTTAGCCCAGGGTGCTGCTAGTGCCCCTCAGTGCCAGAGCACACTGTTGGCTTGTGTTAGGCTTACTGTCCACCAGCATCTCTAGGTTCTGTCCCATGTTTCTGCAAGTCCTGATTTTATCTGTGTTCACCGATCATATTTCTTTGCTTTAAATGGCAGTGTGAAAAGTACTGTGAACACCAGTACTGATGTGCAAGGGTCTGGGGAGAGCCCCAGCTCCAAGGGGTCCAGTCAACAAATGTCTCGTTCAGTGTACTTAGCTGGAAAGTGCTGAGTCCAATTAGGGTTAAAAGCAGCCTTTGCCAGCGTGGGCTTGACCAGGAGCCTGGTCTAATCCCAGCTTTTCCTGCTTTAAAAGGTGGTGGCCTTGAAGTTCATCCCCAAGGTGGGGCGGTCTGAGAAGGAGCTGAAGAACCTGCAGCGAGAAATTGAGATCATGAGAGGCCTCCATCACCCCAACATCATCCAGATGCTTGACAGCTTCGAGACTGATAAGGAGGTGGAGGGGACTACTTTGGGCAATTGCTTTTGCTTGACTAGGCCAGGGGAACAAGGGCTGACCCCTGCTGTTGTAGGGACATCTTTCTCAGGAGTTGCTGGTGGTACCATCTCAGGGTCTGGTCAGTGTTTTTCAGATCCCTCCGGGATGTGCTGTGTGGGCTGCACTAGGTTATATGCAGAGGGGAAGGAGATGACGAGGGGGATACAAGATGAGTGGTTTGAGATTACAGGATGAGGATGACTCTTCAGTCATCAGTCTTTTCAGAGACTGGCTTTTCACTGATTTATACTCTTGGGGAGATAATATGATAAGAACTGAAAACTGTGCTATGGGATATATGAAATAAAGTAACTGGGCAGCAGATTCAAAACAAGCTAAGGGCGTGATTCTACTCACTGGGCTTGGGAGTACCATTCTAGGTTTGTCCTGTCCTTCCCTCTTGTTTTGTTTCTGCTGGCTGTCCAAGACCCCTGCTAAGTACCTGGCCCTTGCTGCAGTGTAGCCATGGGGCCTCTCTTCCATTCAGGTCCCAGCTCAAGCTGATGGACCGTGCACAATGGCAACCCAGCACCTTCTTCAGGCTTCCTACTCTGCTCTGTCCTGGTCCCCAGGTCCTGATCTCACCATGCTGCTCTTCCCTCCAGGTGGTGGTTGTGACTGACTATGCAGAGGGGGAGCTCTTCCAGATCCTGGAGGATGATGGGAGTTTGCCTGAGGACCAGGTGACTGTCATAGTGGTGGCCATGCAGTGTTTGCACATTGAAGAGAACAGGATTTGTCTGCCTGCAGGCAGAGGGTCTCTGCTGTGAGCTGGGACGTGTCAGGAGGGTGAGGGTGCCTCCGGAGCTTTACCTGGCAGAGCTTCTGAAAAGGATGAAGAGGGAGCCAAGTTGCACTGTGGGACAGTGGGGTCCTGCAGGGACCTTGGTTTCCCTGTTACATCTCCAAAGACTGCAGCACCAGACTGCTGCCTTGGCCATTGGCCTGCTCCAAGGAACTGCTGACCCACAGCTGGGGTTGGTCCCTGCCCCAAGAGGGCAAGAGAAGAAGTAGGGTTACTGGGGGAGCCAGGCTTTTAGGGACATGGTTGTGCCAGCGGGTGACACCATGGGATGAAGTGTGAGGCTCCTGTGTCTCTGGCAGGTCCAGACCATTGCTGCCCAACTGGTCTCCGCTCTCTATTACCTGCACTCCCACCGCATCCTGCACCGAGACATGAAACCCCAGAACATCCTGCTGGGCAAAGATGGTGTTGTCAAGCTCTGTGACTTTGGGTGAGCGCTGGGGGCCAGCTTGAGGGGGACACTTGGCCTTGAGGCAGCCAAGAGGTGTAGAAGGGGGCTGAATTCTGTCGGTATTTAGAGGTTAAGCAGAGAGGGGGGATTTTGTCCTCTGGGGGAAGAAGTGTTGATAAACTCATGAGGAGCTCCCTGGGAGCTGCAGTGGATGTTTCAGCCTGAACTTGCCATCTGTGCTTTGCTCTGAGCAGGTTTGCCCGTGCCATGAGCATCCATACCATGGTGCTGACCTCCATCAAGGGCACCCCACTGTACATGTCCCCTGAGCTGGTGGAGGAGCGGCCGTATGACCACACAGCAGATCTCTGGTCTGTGGGCTGCATCCTGTACGAGCTGTTTGTGGGCACTCCTCCCTTCTACACCAACAGCATCTTCCAGCTTGTCAGCCTCATCGTCAAGGACTCTGTCAAGTGGCCCACGGCCATGAGCCCGGTGTTCAAGGTAAGGACGAAGGCCCGGTGTGCAGGGTGAGCTCTGTTAATACAGCTTTGGCCTTGCCTGCTGCGCTGGTGAGTCACTCTTAGCTTTTATGTCCCCTAACAGGGACTTTGGAACAAGGACGAGGGATGAGAGCTGGGCCTCCTGGGAGGGGGACCCTTATCATTGCTGTCCATAAGCTGGGAAACCGGGGCCAACAGCAAAGGAGTGATTTACTGGGCTGGGAAGGGAAATGTCTTCCTGTCTGCCAGTCTCTAAGCACTAGAGCCACTCCTTTCCCAGAGCCAGGCAGGGAATGCAGGCCTCCTGGGTGCCCTCACTGGGGGAGACTGGTAACACTGTGCACACTGGTGCATGCTGAACATGTGTCGGTGATCCTGTTGCTGTGCTGTCCTGTAGAGCTTCCTTCAGGGATTACTAATGAAGGACCCCCACCAGCGCCTCTCATGGCCAGAGCTGCTCTCTCACCCCTTCATTGCTGGACAGGTTACTGGTGAGTACCTGCTTTTTGCAGCACTAGACAGGTCTGTTTCCTCCTCCTACTGCCTGGAGACTCAGAGGACCACCCTTTCCTGCTATTTTTACTGTCCTGGTCTTTGCCTCCCTCCTCTCAGCTTTCTCCGAGCACTGACTCCTAGCTGCTTATGAAGTTCTCCTTTCACCTCCCCAGTGATTGATGACACAGAAGAGCATGGGATCTCAAACCCCTTTACAACCAAGCTGTCCCCAGAATTGCAGGCCCTGAAGGAACAGAAAGCCCATTCCATGGTCCCCAGGAGCAGCCAGTCCAGGATCCAGAGAAAGGCCCAGCAGAAGATGGTTGAAGAGGCACAGAAAAAGGTGGAGGAGAGGGGGTGGTTGTCCTGGCTGTGTCCCACAGTCAGGGCAAAGGAGGAGCACTGAAATGGGCCCTGGGGGGAAACACATGAGTACATGGGTCAGGCTGGGGTGTCAGTGACACACAAAGCAGGATGTGGGGTGCACAGGGTGGTAGGGCCTAGTAGACTCATCTGTTTCAGTAACTGCCCTGACCAAACTTCTCTGCCATCATTAGGGGCAACTGAAGGAAGGTGATGCATCTATGAAGGACTCTGGCAATGGACACCTCAGGCATAGACCCAGAGCAGCTCCAGGCAAGGCAGCCCCTGAGAAGGGGGAGCCACTGGCTGCCTCCAGTGAGAATAACTCTGGTTTCCTGCAAGGAAAGAGCAGCATGGCAGAGTGGGAATTGGAGGATTCTCTTCCTGACCCATGGTGAGAGAGGGCTGCGGCTGGGGCAGGAGGAAAAGGGGAAGGAAAGGTCTTTCACTGACTGCTGTTTCCTTGGCCAGCCAGCATAGCATCTCTTCAGACTATGAGCGGGAGTTTCCTGGAGCAGGTGCCCCTCCACAGCTGGATACTGGCAGGGCAGAGCTCTGGGGCAGGCGCAGCATTGAGGCCGTGGACCTGGAGAGTGAGGTAAGACAGTGTCTTGAGGTGGGGACAGCAGGGCCTAGTCTCCAGGGGCTGGTACAGAGACCCTGGGACTGGCAGGGTCTGTGGCACCAATCATCTCTTCTCCATGGCTAGGAGCTGGAGAGCGATGAGGAGTGGCAGCACCTGATTGAGGCCACTGAGCCCTCGGCCATGCAGCTGAGCACACCACTGAGCCTCCTGAGGGACCCAGCCTTTCAGAACCGTGTCCTGGACTGCCTGGCAGACTCTGCTCAGCAGGTAAGTGATGGCTGGCCCAGACAACTATGACTGGTGATATGGATGCCACCTTCTTCCCCAGGATTGTGTTCAGAACATTTGGAGAGTCCTTAGTCCAGCAAGCAAAAAGATTCCCTGCTTCTCCAGGAGTCAGAACTGTCTTATGCACTTAGCTTGCCATCTGTGACTGCTGTCCCCTGCATGAATGGAATGAGGGGCTGCCCCATGGCTGATGGAGAGGCCAAAAATGCTGCTAATTATTGAGCTCTTCTGGCTTCTCCGTGTCCAGGTGCTGGAAGGGATGCTGGAGGGGGCCTCCCATCTCCGTCCTGTGCTTCGTGTTGTGGGCAACCTCCTGGCTACCCAGTGTGACTCTGAGCTGCTGGACCACTTCTGCCGAGAAGTGAATGTGCCTCTGTCCCTGCTGTGTTTAGCCAAGCAGATCCTGGAGAGTGGTTGCACCAAGCAGGTGGGTGTAGGACCCCAGAGAAATTCAGGCTCCTTACAGTTCTGCAGAGTGCTGATGCTGAGGAGGCCCTGGTGTCCTGCTGGAGCGGGCTCACAGGACCAGTGCCTCTTCCAGGCATCCTTGAGAAGGGGAAGGTTCTGGCAGGGAAGGATCCTTTCACAGTGGTGTGGGAATGGCCAGCAGACAATCCCTATTTGCTGTTTCTTTCTGGATCCTGCAGCAGCCCTGGTGTATCGCTGTGCTGACAGACCTCCTCATGGTGACCACAGTTTATTTCAGCAGTGAATGCAGCTTGGAGGAGAGTGGTCAAAAGGACAGGTGAGGACAACTTTCTGTGCCCTGAGGTCTCTTGTGGCCTCTTTGGGGAGCCAGCAGGAAGCAGGAGGGTAGTGTTCATACCTGCAGCTGGAGTCATCTCAGGGGGGAAGCATCATGGACTAAGCACCTCATGCCATATCGCTGTGCTCACAGAGGAGTGCTCTCCTTCAGTGGCACTAAGGGGAAGGCACAGCTGATGAGTCCAGTTGTGCTGCCCACTGACAGAAGCTCACAGTGTGAGTGTGTGCTGCCTGCCCCATTAGCCGGGTCCACATGGGCCTGGCCAGATCCTGTCTTCATAGCCAGGGGCTGTAATTCTCCTCTCTCATCTGCCCCTGCTTCTTCCCTCAGCCTACAGACCTTCCAGGAGAGTGCTGGCTGCTTCCTGGCCCTGCTGCCAGAGCTGCTGACTGAGCCAGTCGACAGTGAGATGAGACTCTGCCAGCAAAGCCTCCTGGTAAGGGTGCCCCCATCTCCCTCCTCCCCACCCTTTTCTGTAGGGACAGAAGCTGTGGGGCTGTCTGTGTATGTTGGGGGGATGCAGGCTGAGGACCCTGCTTCTAGCTATGGGTGATGCATTCTTGTCAGGGCAGGCTGTCTCACCCACTGGGGTTTATGTGCAGGATTGCATACAGAAAGGAGGTCTCTGAGGGGGCACCTTCCCTGGCTCTGCCGTTCTGGGGTAGCTTTACTGGCTGAGCCAACAGCAAGTGCAGTCCCTGGTACAGAGCTTGGCACCAATGGCCTTGTGGCCGGGCAGTGTCACTTCACCAGACATGTCCCTTGCTCTGCTGCTGGGATTGTGCTAGGTGGGCACAGTGTTGGCGTATGATTCACATGTGACTCAGGTAGGAGATACATACAGGCTTGTATTTGGTATTATCTTGCTTTTAGCCTTTTTTTTCAGGCTGCATGTTTTAGAGCCAGAGGAAGCAAGAGCAAAAAGAGCTCTTGCTCTTGGGTAATGAGTTGGGCATGCTCTGCCAGGCTGTGACAGGTGAGGAGGGACATATGCTTCCATGTGTACCGCTCACTTTGCCAGCATGCAGCCAAAATGTGGGTCCCATACTGTAACCTGGCTGGAGAGGACAGTTGGAGGTTCCTGAAGCTCCAGCACAAGTCCTCCCATCTCTGCTGTCCTGCCACAGCCTCCTCCTGTGCTGTTCTCTCTCCTCCACATTCATTCTGCAGTGATGGCAACCCCTGTGTCTTCCCCAGTGCTTCACCCAGCTCTGTGAGAGCCTGGATGCGACAGACACCTCCATCTCTGCACCCTTCTATGCCAGCCTGCGAGAGGAGCATCAGCCACTGCTGAACAGACTCCTTCAGGGATCCATCTCAGAGCAGCCTGCTCTGCAAGGTAGCAGTGGTAGCAGCTCACCACCTCTTCCTGGGGTTTCCCCTCTCTCTTGGTCTTGGGCTCCATCAGAGCACTGGCAGCCATTGCAGTGCTGTTGGCCAGAGAAGGTGGCTGAAGCTTATCTGCCCAGACCCCTACTAACCAGGCTCTCCTCTCCCTCAGTCTCAGATCTCACCCTCCTCATGTCACAAGCTTTTCCTCTCTTGCCCTCCAACCCCATCCTGCTGCCCCTCAGCACTCTCAGCACATGACTCCCAAGCTCTGGCCCTGTGCAGGTGCAGCGATGGAGGCCAAGTCAGACCAGAGCCCATGTGTGGCAGACCTCTTCATGTCTGCACTGGCTGCTGCCTGCAGTGTCCCCCTGGAAAGGAACAGCTGTCGGGAAGCCAAGCAGCAGGTCAGACCAGCTCTCTGTACAGGGTGAGGAGGTGTGGTCCTCACAGGGCAGTAGCCCTTTCCAGGAGGATTTCTTTCTCAGCAGTGGAGTGGAGGGCTGGGATCCTCTGCCTCTGATGGCTGCAGGGCTGGTTTTTGCAGGCTGGTCCTCCCAGCTGAGCTTTTCTAAGCATTCTTAAATCAATTAGGAGACTTAAACTTAGCCCATCTCGCAGTTCAGATCCTAAGCAAAGAACTAGGCAATACAGAGAGACCATGAAGAATTCTTTTATGACAATGATATAAACTGTAGGAAATCTGAAATTAAATGGACAATAAGAAGGAAAACAACTACAGATTAATATTTGATCCTTTACCTCAACTCTGAGTTAACAAGGAGGAAAGCAGAGGAGGAATCTCACCTTGCTTATCTCAGCTCTAGGACTGTGCTTCAGTGTCGTGCTGGGTCATGGCAGGTGGGCACCCCTTTGTGAACATAAGCAACACATAGGAAGCAGATGCCTTCTTTCATTAATTTGTTGCTAGCATTAAACTCCTTAAGTCTGTGCAGTGCTTCAGGTACCCAGGGTGCAAAACAGACTGATTTCTGCAGGTCGCTCAGGCAGTAGCTGAAAAGCTTATGGAAGGAGAGAGCCAGCAGCTTGGGAAACTGCTGGGAAGACTGGAGCACTCAAGCTGCTCCTTGGACATATTGAAGGTAATGGTCCCATCCTTTAATCTGGCTGTGCCCAGAGACATCTTTGCTCTGGAATTAGGAGTATGGGGAAGGGGGAACTGTGGGCTCAGGCCTCAATGTCTCCCATCTGCCTGATGTCAGTTGTTGAAAAAATGAGCCCATTGTAGCCATGGGATATGACTGGAGTGGGCCTGGTCACTGTTTTCCTGTCCCCAGGGGTTGATAGGCATTTCTCCCCTCTGCCTCACAGATCCTCTACGCTGGCTGCCATGCCCACCCCAGCCTGTGCCAGCACCTGGGAAGGAGCCAATGGCTGTGGGGTTCCCTCATGCGGCTCTTGAAGGGTGAGGTAGGACTGACCACATCCTGGGGGTTGGTGGAGTAGGAGTGTGGGCAAGCAGGACACATTCCTCTGAGTACAGTTTGCACCACTCTAGTGGGGGGAGAAGAGTTTAGGGGAGCTTAATCTGGGGAGTGCAGTTCTCCTTCAGGGCCCAAAAACATTTCCTCCTCCCCTTGTACCCTTGCTGTTCCACTGTGACTCCTGCTCCCTTGGCAGATCCCTGTGGTGGAGGTGGCCCAGGAGGCAGCCTGTGAGGCCTCTGTGTGCCTGCTAGCCCTGCTCACCCCGCACTTTCAGGCCTCCCCTCCCAGGTAAGCACCTGCTTTCACTCATGGGTAGGAGAGGACCATGCCTGGCCCTGAACAGCCCTCTGTCTCTCACCCTGCCAGCACAGAGCTGGGATCTTGCTCCCACTGATCCCTCCAATCCGGACACATCAGCAGAGTTCTGGGCAGTGTGGGTGGGTGCTGGGGATGCAGTGAGGATCCAGTGTGGACAAGGAGGTGCTGTGAACCAAGGCTCTTCCTGGAAGATGGCTGCTTCCAAGCCCTGGGAGTGTTTGAATGCTGCTGCTCTGCACTGTGTGAAGCTGTGGGAACATAGTGCTTTTTTCCTGGTCCCTGTATTTCAGGCTTGAGGAGGTGGTTACCTTGGCTGTGGATCTCATCACGCAGTCTCCTGCTGTCTGCCTTGTGGTAAGCTGCCCCCCATGCCAGAGCCACCACTGAGAGCCCTGCAGAGCCCTGCATCACATTTAGGTCTCACCATTCCTCATTCAGGGTGGGATGAGGTTGAGGGATGAAGGGTCAATACCGAACAAGTAGGTGGGGAAGTCACAAAGGTGCTAAGCTCTCCCTGTCCAACAGGGTGCTGCAGCATTCCTCCTGGCACAGCTCAGTCAGCATGGGGTGGCCTTGGAGCTCAAGGGAGAAGAGATCCTACCAGTGGTGACAAATGTGCTGACAGCATCAGCTAAGGTATGGGATGGGGACAAAAAAGCTGGGGAGCCATGCACACCCCACTGTGGAGATGTGCAAAGACGGGCTCAGAAGGGTGCAGGTGTGGTGCTGCTGCCCTCAGACCCAGCACCCAGCTCCAGCCTGTCCCCCACTCTCTTACAGCTGCAGCTCCCCCTGCCAATGGGTGCTGGTCTCTATGACGGGCTCTTTTGCCTCCTGCTGGAACTCCTTGCCCAGGTACCAGTCTGCCCATCTCCCTTTGCCTGGTCCCTGCCAAAGGGTGTGGTGTCAAAAAGACCTGAATGTGGATTGGTAATGAGGCTGAGGCAAGACAGGGAACTGTGAAGCTTTGGCTGAGCTGTACAACCCCATGAAAGTCACCAAATGTCCCTGCAGGGTTGATGGGAGAGTGGTAGGGGTGATCCATGGGCACACTGGAGTGAGGGCAGATGCCCTGGGACTGATACTGTTGGCAGGTACAGCAGGTCCCGTGAGCCATGTCCATCCAACCCTGACCTTCCCAGAACCACGGGGCTGGCAGAACCATGGACCAGAACCACATGGGATGCCATGAGGGACCATGATATTTGCCTCTCTTAACTCTAGGAGGATGTGGCCATGGAGCAGGGCTTTGCCTCCTCAGAGCTGTGGAGCCTGGTCTGGCATTGTGTTGCTGCGGTGCTTCATGTGGGCAGTGACAGGGCAGCGCTGGAGGGAGAGCTCCCAGGGGCAGGCCACCCCATGGCAGAGCCAGACTGGAACCTCCTCTCCCCTCAAGGTAGGAGCTGCAGGACAGCAGGATATCTGCCCTGGACCCTGTGCTCTACATCCTGCCCTCAGACTTGCCCTTGTCTGTCCCTGTCCGCATCTGTTCCCTGAGGCCAGAGGGCCCAGGTGGCTTTTCCTGAGGATTGCAAGTTGTCCTCTGGGGAGGGAGGACTTGGCTGGCCCATGATGCGTCCAGTTGGCAGCAGCTCAGCTGAGCTGGCTGTGGAGGAACAGAAAGGGTATCTGTGCTGCAGGGAACATTAACCTTGGCAGGTGTGACCACTGGGGTGGAGAGTTTTTGGTTTTGGGCAGGGAAGCACAGAAGTAACCGTGGAGCAGCCTTGAGGCAGTATAGACAGACAGAAGAGAGGGGACTTTTCAGCCTTCCCTAACTTTGCCCCTCTGCCTGCTGTTCCCCCTGCAGGCATCCTGCTCTTCCTCAGCCTGGTGCTCTGCATCTTCACTCGTGAGTCACACCAGTGCCTGCCTCAGCTCACCCAGTCTCATGGTGTCCTCATGGTGACCCTGAAGAGACTGCTGTCCCCTGGCTTCCTGGAATGCCTGGCACAGATGTGAGTTGTGGTGAGGGCTGAAGTGGGCAGGGCTCAGCTACTGAATGGGGCTTGGACATAAGCAAGCCGAGGGCTGAGAAGTTCCTGACCTGGCAGTTGCAGAGCCTCTCTTTAGTGCCTGGTGTGGGGAATGTTCTCTGCCTCTTGCCCTGTCGTTTTTCTGATCACCTCTGTATTAAACCCTCTCTCTCTCTTTAACAAATTCAGGCAAGCAGGAGAGGATGGGGACCCCGAGGTTGTCCCAGCTGTGGTCATCCAGGCCTGCCAGCTCCTCTGTTTCCCTTTTGCCCTGGATGTGGATAGAGACACCTTAGCACTGATCATGCAGGCTGTGAGAGATACCCAGATCCCTGCCCAGCTGCTGCAGGTATTTTCTTGGCTCTGTTTTTCTTCTCCCCCATACTGTGGAGACACCTCTCCACATTGCAGCCCCCAGTGTGTAGCACCACTTCATACCATGGTGTCAGTTTCTGCCTACACAGGAATGTCACTTGGGTGCCATGCAACCCTCACAACAGGTTGGACTGCACTGACCTGCTGGCTCCTTTCAGCTGTTGCTTTGCTTGGCTCACACGAGTGCAGCACACTCAGCACTGCTGTCTGTCCTTTCTCCTTAGGCCTGCTCTCGCCATCTGCCCTTCTCATTCACGGAGCTCCCCATGAGCCTCTTGTGCCACCTCGTTGTATCTGACATGCAGGTCATAGACCAAGTGGTGAGGGAAGCTGCCACCTCGGAGCATGTCATTGCCTTTTTGAAATCTGCCTTGTTCTCAGACAACCTCACACTCACAACTGACCTCCTGTCTCTCTTGACCCACGTGGCCCGGGCCTGTTCGGAGCATCTGTCGTTTCTCCAGAGGATCCTGAGAGGCTTGGATGTGGCTGACCAGCCACTGACCTACCTGCTCGACCACCAGCAATACCCGATACGGGCCAAAACCTGCAACCTGCTGGGCAACCTGCTCCGGCACGGCTTTCCCGCGGCGCTGCAGAGCCATCCCGGCTGGCTGGAGAGCCTGCTGGGGTGCCTGTCGGACGTGGAGGGCAGCGTGCGCAAGGCAGCCAGCTTTGCTGTAGGCAACGTCGCCGGACACGAGTCCTGCCCGGCCGGGACCCTGCGCAGAGCCGTACCCGCCCTGGCCCGACTGCTCAGCGACCCGCAGGCCCAGACACGCTGCAACGCGGCCCTGGCCCTGAGCAACCTGGGCCAGCGCGGGGCAGAGCTCGGCGACCTGCTGATCCAGAGCAGGGCCCCCCACCTCCTGCTGCAGGTGGCCTGCCAGGACCCCCGGGAGAGCGTGCGGGAGGGAGCCCTCGTGGCGCTGCGGGTCCTCAGCGAGCACGCCGGGATCCAGCAGGTACTGCACGGGGGACTCCTGGTGCTGTGGGGACAAGGGGCTGTGCTGGTGGGTGACCCCTGTCCCTCTCCTGGCTCCGCAGGTGCTGCTGTCCCTCGGAGCCCCCGACAGGCTGGCCGCACTGGCTGGCGGCAGCCCCCGGCCGCCTCATGCCCGGCACTGCGAGGAGCTCCTCCGCCGGCTCGCAGCCGTGCCCGGCCCCTCGTGTCCCCGCCGGCCGCTGCCCGGCACCGGCGCCGAGCGCTGACGCCCGGGCATCCCGCCATGGCATCGGCGTTTCCCTCGTCCTCAGCCCGACCTTCCGTGGAACCCTCGTTGTCCGCCCGAGAGGGACCCGGCCCAGCCGGCTTTACCCGGGGCAACCCCCGTGGGAAGCCGGCCCTGGGGAAAAAAGAAAAAAATCGTTCCTTAGGGAAGCGCCCCTTTCCCGACGGCTCCCGGTGCCCTGGGCTCGCTCCGCCGCGCCGCCAGGGGGCGGTGCAGCCCGCTGCGCGGGGGCTGCCGGGAGGTGTAGTCACGTGGGCCCGCCGGCTCCCCATGGTAACGGCGGCGGCGGGTCCGGCGGGCGGTGAGTACGGCGAGTACGGCGGGGCCCTCGGCGCCGGGGCCCTGCTCCCCGGGGCATGCGTGTCTCCCTGAGTGGCACCCTCAGGGTCCTCCCACCGGGCCATACGACCTTTGGCCCCCCCGCTGCCTCCCCCGGCCCCTCCTGCCCCACCACCGTGCTCCGGCCCCGAGGAGGCACCGTGCTTCCCCCCCCCACCCCGGCCTCCTCGCGGGGCTCGCCGTGGCCCTGTTCCAGGCCCCACTCGGGAGCGCTCTGTAGCGGGAAATGCTGGGGCTGGCGGCCTGGCAGACCGTCCTGGAGCAGTACAGAGCATCCTGGTAGCACCTTTGGCCTCTAAGACTTTCACTTGAAGAAATGAGGCATAGGGCGTATTCTCCGGGCGAGTGGCAGGGAGTGAGTAGAGCTGGTTCCCCAGCCAGCCACAGCCCCAGGAAACCTCTCCAATGGCACTTGGAGCAGCTGTGAGGCTGGAGCTGGGATTGACCAGGCTGCAGTGGAGCACTGGGCCAGCCTTGCTGTTCATCCTTCCGTTGGGATCTTGGCTTGACAGCTCTCGCGTTGTAAAAAGAAGCCGATGGGTCTGAAAGGTGAAAGGCAAAGCTGAGTTGAAACAAGCCTTGAGTGTTTCATGGATGCCTCCAGGGTCTGGGCTGAGAATGAGAGGCACAGGTGTGTGAAGCCCTGTAGCACTGTTCCAGCCTCCTGTCACCCTGCCCAGCTGGGCTGTGGGGAGCTCGTGGGAGGCAGAGTTCAGCACCACAGCTCCACATCAAAACCCTGCCTCCGTGACTCCCTGAGATGCTACTTCTCTTGCTCATTGTGGTGTGTTCCTCGCTGAACAGGCAGGTGACACCTAGTGGCTTCTGAACAGTTTGGGAGAATTAACAATGAATTGTTGGTCTGACTACAGTTTTATCTAATGAGTTTTCCTTGATTCTTAGAGTTTGTACCCAGCAGATAGTAGCACTCTCTTCTTGCCTTGCTGCAGTCATTAACTTTTGTGTTAGGTGAAGTTTGTTGATGACAGATAGGCCCCTCCTGCTCCTCAGTCATACCTGGGGCCCTTCTTAGAACAGCAAGGAGGAGCTGAGGGGACAAATATCACTGTCCCCAGATAATGATACCTGCGTGATGTCATGTCACAGGCACAGGACGTACACTTTGGCTGCTGTGCCACCCTAACTGGGCGCCACTCCTTGGCATTTTCTGGATTTGTCCCGGGCATCCAACCTGGGAGTATTTGGCAGCTTCTTCTCAACTTGAATCTCTGTTTCTTCTCCATTCCTGAGCTCTGAGAGATTGCTGTATGGAGTGAGGTTTTTACCATGCCTCCAGAGGAATTTTTCCCACCCCTGTCATGGACTTGGAAGTGTCCTCAGCACATATTGAAAGACAAACCTGGGAACCTTTTTTTCTGCCTGTAGATATATTTCAGTAAAAAGTATCAAGAGCAGAAGATGGACAAAAAATTTATGTGTTTTGAACTAATTGGGTAGTTCTTGTCTCATTGCTGTGTGTTGATATTTTATACTTGTTCCACTCACTCCAAATCTTCCACTTTTATTTCTCTACTAAAGGCCAGACTGCCTAAGACCAGACGGAGCTGTGCTGACCACATATCAATTCCTGCACTGGTAGCCAAAGTCTTCACAGGTCTTACTGTGTAATTCTCCTGTACTTTTTCTCCCATCATGAAGATCAATTGCTGTCCCTTCAGTTTGGATCTTCAGGAAGGGGCTTTAGCCCCTTTTCACCAAGGGGCTCTGTGGTGAAATGCTGTTAAACACCCCATGGTTTAGCTTGTTGCTTTTAACCCAGACTCGCTTCCCTGCTCTTGTTTTACACTGCAGCACAGCTGCTCCTGTAGCCCATACGATGAGAAAGTACAAATGGGAGCAAGGGCAGGCACTTCCCAGCTTCACTGCTGGAGAAACAGAGCTGCATGATCAACTGTCACTGTGCAGCGTGTCCACTTTGGGACCTGGGGAATCTGCCAGGGAGAAAAGGTGATATCCTTGGGGGATTCCACACCCTGCACCTTTCACCCTTTGCTATGGCCCCCACACTGTCTGGTCACAACCAGGACGGCCCTCCCGGTGTAAGGACTGAGACAACCCTTTATTTTAGATGTCCCTGGTGCACTGTCTCCATGGCAAAGCTGCAGCCCTGGATTGTCTTCCTAACGATGGAATCCTGCACATCATCTGGCTTTGTGCTCCAGTGTCCTGAGAGTGGTGGGAAAGTCCCATGTGAACTCAGTCCCCAGCCCAGCCTGTGTGTGCATAGAGGGAGGCATTTGCTGCAGCACAGGGTGAGGTTGTGGCTGGATTCCAGCTCTCCCATGGCTTGGTCCAGTGCCTTGCTGCCCCTAAGGAGGTCTGCCTCTACCTCGGGAATGGGAGTGAACACTGGAGCTGTTCTGCTTCTCTTGCAGGGCAGCGTTCTGCTTAGGTAAAGGATCATTTTGCACAGCCATACACTTCTCAATATCTCCTTTGTTCAGTGTGGAGTGGAGTTCAGCACTGCAGCTGTTGAATAGAAATTACTATCCCCAGCACAAAGCTGGACACAGATGTAATCCTAAAATGCAGGTGGAATTTGCTGATGCATCCCCATAGTGGGTGGTTTCTCACTGGTATCTTTAGACCTGAGTGGCCAAGCAAAAACTTGTCATCTTGATTAGGAGACAAATTGTCTGTCATCCTCTCATTTTGCACCCAAAATGTGGTTCTGCAGGATGATACCAGAGCTGAGAGAGAACAACAGTGCTTAACTGTGTGGCAAAGCAGCATGACTCTTGGTCCCTGTGCCACTGGCATTTTTGTGTTGGCCGAGCTGTCTCTGAGCTGTTTTGTCCTCATGGATGACTTCTTGCGGCCAGCAGAACTCTCTGCTCTTCAGCTTGAACTTGTGGGTGAACTTGGGCATTGCTTTGTCTTAGTGTGTGACTGCACTTGAGGCAATTTGTTTCTTGGAGCTGAGGTAGGGGAGGGCTGTTTTTGTGCTGTTGAAACACAAGTTTGTACCCAGCTACCAGGTGTTGGAGCAGCTTTAGGCACTCAATCAGTTGGTTTCAGATCAATGATGTTGATCTTGTTCAAAGTTTTAAAATTTTTTGAAGGGGTACAAACTCTTATTTTGAAATATATTCATTTTAAAACCTGTTTTGTGTTGTTGTTAACTTGCTTGTTCAAGCTTTAATCAAAAACCCCAGAGCTCTGAGTGAGGAACTTGGTGTGAACTCAGATCTCATTTAGAAAAAGATGTTATCCCTTTTAATCATAAAGAACAAAAATTGCACCCTGCAATGGCATAGAAAACAATAGCAAGCACAGTTGTCTAACCTCCCCTCCTTGTGACTTTGGGCTGTGTGAGGCTGACAGCATGTTATCAGGTCAGCTAGCAGTGCATACATTTGCAAGCTCTTGTTATTTTAAGCATGTCACCAAGCTGCGTTTAAAATAACCTCCCCAGCCAAACTCCTGTGACACACAGGCTCTTATGATCTTGTCCTTTCCTGTTAGCAATGGGACTGCAGAGAGCTGCCACACTGCCATTAAGGAAGACACATTAATGCCACAGTGGGGCTCATGCTAGAAGAAATGATTTTCACTGACATACACTCGGGTACACAGAGGCCGTGGCGTGTGGTGGCCTCGTGTGCCTGTGATGTGACATTCGAACAGGCTGTGGCAGTGCTCCAGCTGACGCCCTGAAGCCTCTGAGCAGGCTGTGCAGCAATAAAAGGTGCTAGCAAAATAGTTGTAAGCAAGTGCAGCTGTATGGTCACTCCAACAGTGACAACTTTGGCCTCTGTATTGTGGGTCAGTAAGTCCAAGCCAAAATCCATTAATTACTTGGTTGGGTTTGAATTCCAGCCTGGCTAGTTCATCCTGGGCTTTTCCCAGCTCATGTTTCTACAATAAAATTCCAAAGTGTAGTTCTACTGCTGTTGTGAGCTGCAGAATGGACTCCAGCTCCTTTGCCATAGGATTGGGTTGGCAAAACTAGAGATTGCATCAAACTGTGACCTTCTTCCACTCCAAAACTCTGACTTGAGTTAAATGTAAAAGGGAAACTTCCCTGACTGGTAGCCAGCAGGGATTTACCCTCAGGCAGATGACATTTTTCCTGCCCAGAGCCACAGAGACATGGCAGCTGCTGCCCTGTTGTGGCCATAGCCTGGCATGTGAAGGTGCCTCCATCTCCACCTGTTCTCCTGGATGCTCAGCAGCTGCTTCGTCGAGCTGTTCTTGCAGTGAGCATGGGAGATGGTTTGCAGGGGGACATCAGGGGTGGCTGTGCTGGCATGCAGGTGGGACAGAAGGGTGGATGTGGGGAAGGACATGGGGTGGAGGAGGAAGGAGCATGGGCTGGTTCTGCCAGTCTGGATGCATCCTGACCTGCTCCATGTGGGTGCATCTTCATTCCATCCTTCCTGCCCCTCTCTCAGAGCTCCTGTGTCTCCATGGAGAAATGGTGGTTACTGGCTGTTGGCTGGCACTATCCTCAACTGGAAGCTTTACTTAAAGGCCCTGCTGCTTCCCTTCCTTATGCAGCCACAGCTTCTAGCACACTCCTGCCCTGTGTTGACCTACCAACTCCATGGCAAAACTGCCCCATAGAGAGACAATTTCAGCATGTTCTCCCTGTGCTGCTGAGAGGCTTGGCTCCAGGCAGTGGCAGCTGAGGCCATGCCATGACCACATTTCCACCCCGGCAGCTGCAGCTGACAGCAGTACTCTAGTGTCTGTGCTGGTCACATCTGTGCCACTGTTGGCACTTACTCCAGATCGGGGTCACACAGGGTTTCTGGCATTTTCACACCTATGTGTAAGCTGGCCGTAAGATTCACATCCCTTTTTACAGCTTCATTAGCCCCATCACTTTTTATTTTTACAGCGGGATGATCCACTGATAGCTGTAAAGCCGGGTGGAGATGAGGCACAGATGGCTTTCACCACGGGCTGGTTTTGCAAGGTCATTCACAGCCGGGTGAGAGCACAGGTGGTGGCCAAGCTGGGAGAGCATGTTGTGATGCCACAGTGACAGTCCCCTCTAGGCAGGGACACCAGGAACACTTTCATACTCCTTGAATTTTAATTTGCTCTTCCACACCTAGTTCACTGGTGTGCTAGGGTCGATTTGTGGTTTGAGTGTGTTTCGACCTGGGTGCATCTGAGGGGGTAGCCTGTGGAAGCTGAGCTTTGCTCCCTTGGTTACTGGGGGAAACCTGAGCTGGGCAGGTGATGGCATCTGAGCCACAACTTCTTCGCTCTGTGCTAATCGCTGTGAATGTCACAACACAGCCAGGTTTGCTGCCGGGGGCAGATTGGGTAGCAGTCGAATAGTGTGGTACATCTCAGTTGTGGGATTCCCTACCCCTTGGGGCTTCAAGTCCCTCTGGGCTGCAGCTCCCATATGGATGCAGATGTCCTGTCTTCATCAGGAGTTCACAGCTTGACTGTACAAGTGCTAAGAAACAGTGCAACCTTGTGGGTATGGAGTGGTACCTTCCTTGCAGAGCTTGGCAGGGTAGCATCTCTCCTTGAGAATGTGTAGCTCCTGTGGGATCCTACAGGGTATGTTCCATCTTGTACAGCCTCTGTCTGAGATGCTGCTGACATGGTGTGTGCTGTAGACTGAGGCTGATTGACAGGCTGAGGTCTGGCAAGTGTAGGTCTGTCTGACCCAGCCCTGTGGTGGTGAGAGCTGCTATCACGGTGGTACAGAGCAACCCCAGGGTCTCCAAGCTACAATTTAACTGCTGCATCTGAGGCTTGACTTTCAGGTGAGACAGGAGTGTGTATGTGTATTGCAAGAAAACCAAGAGGATGATGGTTGATGCTCTGCTTACCTTTCTTTTTATACTTTTTTTTTTTTTTTTTTTTTTTAAACATGCAAACATGTGAGAGCTGGAAGGTGGAAGAGCCATCCAGCCTGCTTGGAAAACAAATTCCTATCACAGCTGTATCCAGGGGCCCTCCAGGCATGTGTTAAAGCAAGACAAATAACTGGCTCATGGTTTGTTTTCTCTTTCCCTTCTCCCCAGGCAAGAGGATGTTGCGGGTGTGGTGCAATAGTTCATTCTAGGAGGATTCAGGACACTTAAGTATGCAGCTCTGTAGTCTGCCAGTTGTTCCTTGCAGGAGATTTTTCTGTAGGACTGCAATGGGGAGGAACATGAGTGCACAGCACTGCCAGTCTCTGCTGGAAACCGAGGTGTTGATGTTAGAATAGCCCTGGATTTGCTCCTTGCTGCCTTCTCATCACCGAGCTCTTTAGGATGCCCTCAGACCTCACTGAGCCTTTCTCTGGTGTTACAAAGGTGAAAAATGTTCCTTTTAAAAGCAGGGCTGAGGTTCTCACCTAGCTGTGTAACCTTGGAAACTGAAGCTTTAAGGAATGGGGAGAAAAAAATAAATCAGACATTTTGGTGCTTGTGGTGGAGTTGGGAGAGCTGACAGTGGAGCACATGGTGCAGTCTGGAGACACAGACCTGTAAGAGTGGGCTCCAGCAGCTGTGTGGGTCCAAGGCAGGCTGCCTCTCCTTGCAGACTGGGCTGCTGCTCCATGGCCTTGACTGGCAGTCAGGCACCCCTGCATGTTTGCAGGGTACAAGCTTTCCTGCAGATGTCCCTCTCTACATTTTCCTTTGCATCCTCTGATTTCATGTGAGATGCCAGCTCTTCTTTGTCTTGGTCTGGGGAGACCAGCAGGTGGAGATGTGGTTTTCATCCTGCAGGAAAAGCAGCTCACCCTGCTCTCCTCATGGTGCACTGGGCTGGGTGCTGTGCCCTGACAGGGTAACAGTGCCTTTCATGCTGTTCTCTTGTTTCAGGCCAGCAAAGATGCTGCTGTAGATGATTGACTCGCTTGTGCCTCATGTGCTATGGCTCTACATGGCCACTTCAGGACCAGACCATGCTAATCTGGGCCCCAAACAGGAGAGGAGTGTTGGGCTCGAGTCAGGCACCCTTCTGGCTGGGAGACCTCAGCCGTGCTGGGCCTGGCGCTTCGCTCAGCAGCAGGCGAAACCTGCCTGGAATTTAGAGAAGAGGTATGTGAGTGCTTTCCAGGATCGAATCCTGCTGCCCTCAGGGATCCCTCTGCAGCAATCCTGCTTCTTGTGCTCGCCGTCACTATGCCACGCACAGCCCACTGAAGACAACCTCCGAAGCCCTCCTGGCACTGCCTCTGCCACGGCAAGGGCGATGTCTTCCTTGCTGATGGAACCCTGCCTGCTTCCTGTACTGGCGGAGGAGCAGTCTGGGACTGGGATCAAAGGCTCTGCCTTCGGCTCAGGTCAGCAGGCTGCCAGCTCCTATAGATCAGTGCTCAATAACAACTCCTTCCTACGGCCAAGCAGTGCTAAAGTGCCTTTTCTGCAATCACTGGAGATGAGAAAGATGGAAAAACCCCACAATTCTCTTGCTGCCTCATGGCCCCACTCTGGGGGCAATGGAGACAGCTTCTCTAGCAGCCTGATCAATGGAGCAGTGACGAACAGTGACCCTGTGTTGAAGAAAACAGTGGTTCCCTCCCTGCCCCCTGTGCCAAGGAGTGCTGTCCTCAGGAAGGACCAGTGCTCGTGGCAGGACACTCAGAAGGGAATTCACAGCTCAAAAGAGAAGGAGCCAGAGAAGAATCTCCTGAAGGCTGTGCAGCAGCTAGCCAGTCAGGCTGCCACACGCAACAGCTTTGGGTGCCAAGTCAAAAGTTCTGGCCTTACAAAGGTGGGCAGCCTCTCCAACTGGAACAGCAGGAGGAGGCAGCACGTCGGAGCGCAGCTCACCCTGAAAGAAACCATTGCTCCTCTGAACTTGGAGCTGGGGAGCCATCGCCTTAACAGTGACTCGAGCCTTAGGGGCACCAGTGGTGCCATTGCCTGCCCTAAGCGTGTCAGCGTCTGTCCCTTGGCCTCACGCGCTGGCGCTCCCGACGGCAGCTCCGACTGCCGGCTTGTGGGCACGCACAGCCCGCGCGTGGGGAATCAGGTGGTGAGAGCTGAGCCTCTGCACCTCGCTGCTGTCTCTGAAGTGACAAAACAGATGTCTACCATTCAACTGGAAAAAGAGAAGAAATGGGTCCAGGCTGTGGTCCCAGGAAAGCTTGAGTAAGTAGAGGCAGGAGGATGAGGGAGGCTGTGGTGGGCTGTGGTGGGCTGGGCTGGCCATTGTGTCTGTGTGTTTTGGGAGAGGAGGCACTGTGGGCAGTACAGGGGTGGCTATAAGGATTACCATGGACTGTGTCCCTGAGGAAAACCCAACTGTGGCATCCTGGTGTGGGGCTAGCCTTCCTGCCACCCCCTTGACACAAGCCCTTCCACCTTCTCCTTCAACCACAGCATGGAATTGCTGTATGGCATTTCTAGCTTGTTTTTCACAATCATGGGGCCCTGCCTGCAGTGGCAGGCTCTGCAAGTATGTTGAGTGAAGCCTGCTGTCAAGCCAGGCTTTCCTAGTCAGAGACATGCATTCATAAAGGAACACAGAGCTGGTGCAAGGACATGGAGCTCCTACTCTCCAGCTGGGAGAAGGTGTCCTTGTGCCTCTTGCTTTCTGGCTGCTCTGGAACATGTTTCTTCTCAGAGTGCTCTGGGGCCTTTCCATCTTGCTAGCTTGGGATGAGTGCTTGCACTGGAGAGCGCAGTGCTCTCACTGTCCTACCTACATTATCTCGTGCTGCCTCATGAGCTTCTGGGTTTTTTGGCCCCAGAAAGCATGTGCCATTCCTTCTCATGTAATGTCCTTTGTCCCAGTGCCACTGCTGAGCAGTCACTGCTGGAGCCAAGCCATCCCCAGGATGAAGCAGAGGAAGAACTTCCTGATGGCCTGGATGAGAGCTGCAGTCAGGAGGAGGAGGACAGTGAGTGCTGGTTCTGCTGGGAAGGCCTGCTCCATGCCTCAAAGTAGGGAGGGTGGGAACTGTCTGGGAGCTGGGGGTGAGCACAGCTGTCTTCTTGTCTTACATTCATGCTGTCATTTCAGGATGTGCTGAGCCCAAAAGTAATGTAGCAGCAAGGAGGGCAAGGGTTCCTGCATGGTTTCCTCTGGGGAGCAGCCTAGGGCTCATCACTCTCCTGCTGCAGAACTTACTCATCTTCTTTCTGTATAGGGCTGTCAGCTCTGCCCCTTTCCCTGCTTTTTACAACACCAATTAGTGGGCAAAACCCAGGATCCAAGGATTTGAAGCAACTGGAAGGCTTTGTCCCCTGGAGCATTTGTTTTCTCTCTTCCCTTCCTAACTCTGTGTGTGTTCACTCCTCATGGAGACAAAATTTGAATTTGTTCGTTCCTGCAGGTGACTCGGATGCTTCCTCTGTGGCTGACGTGTCATCCAGTGGTTCCATGAGTCTTGTATCCAGGTTAGTAGCTGTAAATACTGCACCGAACTTGGCATATTTATCCAGACTTGTCCATCTTTGCCCTCCCTGGTGACAGAGGAAATGTGTAGCATGTGGGATAATGGAGACAAGGTAGCAACAGACTTCCCAGCCAAAGTGAGTTTCCTTGTTGCACTGTAGGCCAGAGCTCCCTCTCTGGCTGCGGGAAGCAGCCTGCAAAGTGCTGAGTGTACATCCACTGCAGCAGAACACAGGTCTTAATTTCACTAGCACTGCCAGTTCTTGGGTTAGGTTTACTGAATTAAACTGTGCTCTTGCGGTGTCATTGCCTGGCAGATGAAGCAGAGTGGAAGTGTCCTGGGCCAGAGATTGCAAAAGCTTCTTGTGGTCTTGTGTCTTAGCATTGCATCCTAGAAACAAGTCCTGGAACCTTGGTTTTTCTTTACTTTTGGGAGTATCTTTCTCTGGGGAGGATTGCTCAGCCTGTGGTCATCTGAGCCCTGCCTCTGTGACTCCTGGCAGACCTTTGTGTGATGTTTTCTTGCCCATGCAACAACAGGACCTGATCTTGCACCACGGCTGCCTCAGGCTTTGCTGTCTGCCTGACAGCTTGCTGCTTGCTATCATGTCATCGCTAATCTGGGAGACAAGCAAGGCTCCCTGTGAGCAAATGTTGAGCCTCAGGGCGCTGCAGGGCTCTGGGTGGGCATATGTGATTGTGAAAGTCCTGCAGAGGTGATGTAAACTGGCCCAGCGGTGGCCTGGGTGGCCTCTGGGGCAGATAGAGGAAGCAGAGCTTGGACCAAATGCCTCTTGCAGCAAGGAGGGAGGTATGTTGGCCACTTCCCTGTGCAGGCTGTGTGCTGGGCTGGCCTTGAAGCCTTTGCAGCTGTCTCCTGCCTTCAGTTTGTTGTGGGCAAAACCAGTTTTGTGCCAGAGAATGTTAATTGATATAATCGCTTGCCAATTAACAAACTTTCAATTATTGATTCTGATACTGAAAAGACAAAAAAATATACATAAGGACTTAAGGAAAACAGCCCTTTTTCCCCCATCCTGGTTTACAATCCCTTTGCCACAGACTATGCTCAGTTCCCTTTAGTGAGGCAAGAGGTGGCCTGTGAGATTGTGTGGACAGTGTGTTGTGTTTCTTTTAGTTTGCTACTCTTTATTCCTTAGTGATTGCTCTAGTGTGGTTTCTTGTACTGGCTGCAGTGGCATATATTTGAATATATGTTCACTGCAAACTTTACTTTTTGCTTCATCACAACCTTAAGAGATATGTTAAAATTTCTACCCTTCCTACCCAGTGTTGGGGCTTGCTGTGGTAAGGTGTACATACAGTGGGTAAAACTCCAGCCCTCTTCCCTGCAACACACCAAAATCAAGAGGTTACAACAGCTAAATCATACGCATTACGATCTCCACCCCATGTTCCCATGAACATGGGATATAGGGTTTGTCATGTAAAAACCTTGCCCCAGCAAAACACAAACCCCACAGTGCTTACTTGGTGTGTGCATTCATTACAAACTCATCCCCTCATTGCTGCAGGCTGGGTTACTGACCTCAGTGCCCATTGCTTGTTCCACATTGCGATGATGGTGCAAATTCCTGATACCAGGATCAAGGCTCCTTCCGGCTTCCCCCTTCCTCCCCGTGATACTTTTCACCTTTAGCCAACTGCCATCTGCTTCATCTTTCCTAGGAATTGCATCAAGTGCCTGGCCCAGCCTGCTGAGGCTCAGGAAAAAGTGCTCAAACCAGCTCTTGTCTGCAGTTTATTCCCTAATGTGCCTCCAACTATCTACTTCAGTACTCGGGATGAGACAGGTGAGCCAGGGTCTGTTGCCGCGCAGAGTGAGAGTGGCCAGCCCGTTATTAGGAAGCAGATGGTGCCAGCACACAGCCGGGAGCTGGCTGGAGTGGCTGCCCTTCACCCCTCCCATGATGAGACCCAGCACTGCTCTGAGGTCCAGAGGACTGGAGTAAATTACACTGCTTCCATAGCCTGGACCATGACTTAGGCTGCCACTAAATTCCAGTGTCCTGGATTTCCCCCACCTATGGAATCTTCTACTCCATGCTGGTTCTGCAACAGGGGCTACGCACCCTTCTCTTCAGGCCTGGTACCTGTGCAGCAAATCATAAGAACCTTGCAGCTGTAGAAAATTGAACTATTGTGTTTGTTTTCCTTTGTTCCTTAACTTTTTGCCTTCCTAGTGGAAAAGCTGCCTTGGGAGCAGAGGAAGCTACTGCGATGGAAAATGTGCGGAGTGACGCCGAACATTGTGAGGCAAACTGTTTGCAGATCCCACTTCAGAGTTAGCAAAAGTAAGTTGTGGGAGTCTACACTGCGTTCTCCCTCACCTCCAGCCCGTGGGCCTGAGAAGGCACAATGGCTGGGAGAAGTAGAGCAGAAGCTATACAAGCTGGGCACTGCAAGATGCTGGGTTCCCATTTCTGCCTGTCTGGCCTGCAGTACCCAAGCTCTGTAGGTCCTGGTAGGGCCTGATCTCCCTCTTGGCTTGTCCCTGGCATGGACCAGAAAGACTTACTCCTGAGCTGTCAGAAGCTGCCATGTGGGGCAACTTTGCTCTGGCTTGCCACTCTAGGGAGGCTGGCCCTCATCTGGTGCCAGCCCCAGCACTGCTGCACCTTGTCCCTGTGTACTGAAGAAGAAACCATCCTCTCTGAATATAGCCACAGTTCTCAGGGTTGGGAATCTTGCAGTAGCCTGTACGACTGCCCTGTGCTGTAGCTGTGCAGCATCCCTGGCACGCTTCTGCCCGCCCCAAGAGATGGGGTGCTGCTGGGTTGAGAGGGTGTTGGTGGCAGCATACTTTGTCACGGACTTTTCTGTTTTTCCTACAGAAAGCAACGACTGGCTGGGTTGCTGGGGCCACCACATGAAATCTCCCAGCTTCAGAGCCATCAGGGAGCACCAAAAGGTAGGGGATGTTTTGGGCTGACCTCCTTCACATGCATGAAGAGTGTGTTGGAAACAATTTGGGTGCCCCTCTCCTCAGAGCCAGGTTTTTGCTGTGCAGGCTGTCCCTACAGTGTCCGTTCCAGAACTGGGAGAGGAGCCCAAGAGGCGGGCACAGCTTGGTGAGCTTCTCTGCTGTGGCTCTTGCACAGACTGAGGCTGTAGCCAAATTCAGTTGTTGCTGCTTAAAGGAGTCCTTCTGGCAGAACTGAGGGGTAGGGGCAGTTCCCTTCCCACCAGTGCAGTAGAGGGGATGTACCTAATTCAGACCACAAAACAGTCAGGTGTGGCTCATGTCTTGGGGAGCCTGTGAGGTACCAAAGGTTTGGTATCTATCACAAGTACATGTTTGCTCTGGAGAGCTGTGATGATCCAAACCATGTGGTTTGTCCCTGCAAAGCTTCAGGTGGAATCACTTTGGGTGCAATTCTGGGAGGGAAACAAAGAGTGTTACCCTGCACTGGATTCAGAAAGGACATATGCTATGGCCAGGGAGTAAGAAGGGGTGGGCAAGGATTTGGGGAAGCAGGGAGATGTCATAACATCTGGCTTCCTTTCCAGCTAAACCACTTCCCCGGCTCATTTCAAATTGGGAGAAAGGACCGTCTGTGGCGCAACCTGTTGAAGATGCAGGCTCGCTGTGGGAAAAAGGAGTTTAACTTCTTCCCTCAGTCCTTCATCCTGCCACAGGACATCAAATTACTCAAGAAAGCATGGGAGGAAGGAGCTAGCCGACAGAAATGGATTGTGAAACCAGTGAGTGTAAAGCAGAGCTCAACCTTTCATCCCATTGTAGCTGCAGTGAGAAGATCTGATCCCTTATTGTTTGTGTTTTGCAGCCAGCATCAGCAAGAGGCATTGGTATCCAGGTCATCCACAAATGGAGCCAGCTCCCCAAAAGGAGGCCACTGTTAGTACAGAGGTGAGTGAAGGAAAAAACAGGGTTGACACACAGCCTGGGACCTTGTACTCTGGCCAGTTCTGGGCTGATGCCACTGTGTGGCAGAGCAGAAGCATCTGATTTTTTCTCTGGAGACTGCCTTAGTGTCCTGCTGCTGGAAGTCTGACTCTGTCAGCTGCAGCTATCAGAGTGCTGCTGTCCCTGCGTAGATATTTCATGTTTCGGATACAAACTGGCTTCATGAGCTTTCTGGAGCTTCTATCTGGCAGGTGAACAGCTTTGACTCTGCTGTGATCTGCCTCCCACTACTTTCTACTCTGTGGTTTGGTGTGTTTGGAGACAAACTTAATCCAGTTCTCACAAGCACAGTGAGAAGAGAAGTCCCAGGGAAGAGGTGGCAGTTGTCAAAGATTTGTTCTTATCCCAGTTAGAATGGTTCAGTAAGAACCTCAGTACATATAGATGTTGGTAAAAGGATTTTCTTGAATTAACAGAGTTGTCAATCTCCTTCTTGTTCTGCAGAAAAATGGAATATCTCGTCTTGGTTTGATGCTGCTTTCTGGGAAGATTCTTGAGGGCAGAAAACTGTTCAGTGTTTGGCAGACAGGGAACTGCTGTGTTTGCTTGTTTTTTCTCCCTGTCCACTTCCCATGCAAAGTGATAAACTTTCCTATGAGAGATCGTGAACTTCTGGGATGAATAGTCAAATGATTTGGATTAAAATATCCAACTGTTTCTGCTCACTGTACCAAACCATCTGTGGTGTACTGCATGTCTTAGATGTTCCTGAATACTGTGATCAGTCTTGTGGGTGTGGAAAAACTACTGTGCTTTAGCGCTGGGAAAAATCTTTTCAAAATGGAACTGAGCAGAAGGGAACATGGCTCCTGTGCTGTAGGAACTCCCCATGCATGGGAGAGCTGCTCTTTCTCTCATTTTGACCGTGATGTGATTAACTTGGAAATGCTGTGCCAAAGGGCTTCTACACTGATAACTTGTTTCACCAAGCCCTCTGAGTTGGGGGTTAGTGATGTTCCTGCACATGAAAATCATAACTTACTTGTCTCTGCAGGTATCTGCACAAACCCTACCTCATTGGCGGGAAGAAGTTTGATCTGAGGATCTACGTTTATGTCACTTGCTACGATCCTCTCAGGGTCTACCTGTTCAAGGATGGATTGGTTCGCTTTGCCAGCTGCAAGTAGGTTGTGCAGGAGAGTGGTGCTGGTGCTGCCTCGGTGCCAAGGCATGTGTGGCTGTGGTACCTGCCTCGACTGGGGCAGGAGAGAGTCATCCCCTAGATAGTGATGCTCAAAGCTATATCTTGCTTACTTAAGAAGCAGAGTGGAAACGCACGGGGTCACTGCAGGTGTTAAAAAGGGAATGTGAGAGAGTGCTGCCTACATCCACATTTCCCAATGCGAGATCAGCTCAGTGTAAAGCAGTTCTTGAAACATGCTGTCTGTGCTTCATTCTACATAAAAACTGGCACACCAGAAACTGAGTTTTTTCCAGTTTTCATCATATTGCCTCAAGCTACTGCAGTTCCAGCAGTGCTTCTGCTCAGCGATGCTCTGGCCTTTTTTTAAGGACATGCTGTGAGGGTGGGATTACATTCCACTGCCTGTGCTGTGTCATGTTTTGTTCATGAGCTCTGGGCCTGTGGGGTCAGAGAGCTCCAGGCAGCAGGGCTGGTGGATGGCTGAGAGTGGTCTGAGATGGACCAGGTGGCAACCAGTTCAATCTCAGACTGCTTGTGCTCCTATTGCCTCTTCCAGGTACTCCTCCTCAATGGAGAGCCTCAGCAACAAGTTTGTGCACTTAACCAACTACAGTGTGAACAAGAAGAACACGGAGTATAAGTCCAACTCGGATGAGACTGCTTGCCAGGGACACAAATGGTGGGTGTTACTTTTAGGGCACAAGGCAACTCTTTATATTTCCCGTTAAGTCAGACTTTTTTCAGTATTCCTACCCAACACTTGAACTTGCTTTCTGTATCATCTGCTCCCGCTGGGGAAAATGAAAGAGCAAAATGATTTTAGCATGAGTTAGTTAGATTCAATGGAATCTGAATGGTCTCCCTTATCCTCTACTGCTTGGGCTGTGGTTGCTGTTCTTCCTGCCTGTGTCTGTACCGTTCCCTGCTTTCAATGCTGAAGTCATCTGTGTTCATTCATTCCTTTGTCCTAATGTGGGGGCGATGGGATGTGGTTAAAGCAGAATCTGATTGGTTTTGCTGTTAAAAATTGAATGAGTAATTGTGATGCTTAAATTGGCTAGATGGAAACTTCTGCCCATCTCTCTCTTGACTTCCCTGTGGAGCCAGAGAAAGGGACAGCCCTGGTGCAGAATGTTAATTTATGTGCTGCTCGGTGTGAATAGGAACAGTGGTGTAATTTCTAGGCCTTTGGGAGGAGGACTGCAGTCTTGCAGGAGTTCCCATTCCCTGCTGTCCCATGGGTGAATGGGTGCAAGCCCCGGGCACTTGTCTCTAATTCCATGGTGGTGTTTGAACCCTTTTAAAAATAGTGCAGGGTAGAGTTCTCAATTCGCAGCCCGGGCAGGGCTACTGCACTTTAAAGGGAGTTGCAGAAGGTGATTTGCTCTGGTCACATTGCTTTCTCAGATCTGGACCTGCTGCGCAGTGGTCTGTTTCTCCACTGGGACTTTTAACGGGGTTTGCTGCCTCCCAGCAGTTTCAATCTCATGGGAGTGGGATTGTGTGGGTTTGCTGTACTGCCATGCAAGTCAAAGCTGGCTCATCTCATGTTAAAGAGGAGTGTGGCTGTAATCCACTCCATCTTGTATGCAGGAAGCGTGACCTTTGGATTCCTGGCCATTAGCCACATGGTCTCACTTGAGAAATATCTGAGCATCCTTGGCTCACTGTCAGGGTAGCTTGCAGCACTCAATGTGGTGTGGGAAACTCCTATAAAAGCAGAGGTGCTCCCCCATACCATCTTGTTCCCCACATTTTTCAAAAATTCTTCTCCCCCCGAAGCCTCTGTGAAATGGCTTTAGCTAAAACATTTTCGGGATCTTGCTGGATTCCTGCTGAGCTGCTTTGCAGTGCTGCGGGGGAAGGCCTGCAGAAAGGGGAGGTTTGCTGAGGACATGGAAGGGGGGGAAGAGAAGATTTGGGCCTGACTTACCTTGCTCATGTGCTAATTTGGGACTGTGCTGGGACAAATTCATGTTCCTAGTAGCTTGGGCCTACAAGACCAGGGGCCAGGCTGGGGAGGGCAGCAGCTGAGAGCTGGAGGATGGCTGTGCCAGGGAGTAGTGTTGTCAGAGCTTTCTCTCCCAGCAGCAAGGGGCTACAGAGCTACCTCCTTTGTTTTCTCTCTCCCAGGGCACTCAAAGCTCTCTGGAATTACCTGACCCAGAAGGGAGTGAATAGTGAGGCCATCTGGGAGAAGATTAAGGACATCGTTATCAAAACCATCATTGCGTGAGTCCTGGCACCCCTTGCTCTGTGCCTGGCTGTGTGGTGCACCCTGACCCCTCTGGCTCTCCAGTCCCCTCTCAGCCTGGTCTTTTACTCTTAATTGAAATGGTATGACCACTGTTGGCTTCAGTATTTCTCTCTGGATTCTTCCTCTCATCCTGTTACTTATGCTCATGCTGCACTGGGTAAATACACCTTAAATTTCCTGGACCTGCCTGCAGGCCAGGAGAGTGCAGTATGCCTGGCGCTGCCCAGCTTGCTACCCACTCCCCTGCTTTGCCAGGGAGCCTGAACAAGAAAGGTCCCTGGTGCAGGATGAATCTTGTGTTCAACAGTCCATGCTGCCTGACAGAGTAGGGATGCTCAGGATGCAGTGCTGGATCCGTACGCAGTGCAGCAGTAGCAGCTCACAGGCCTGTGCCAGTCTCTCACCTACCTGATTCTGCAGCATGTGGCTTCATTATGCTTCCAGAACCGTCAGCATGTGCTGTGAACAGCCAGAGCTCTGCTGTCTGACTGTTGGAAACAAGCATTTTTTCCTTGGCTTGCAGATCTGAGCCCTACGTGAACAGCCTTGTGAAGATGTACGTGCGCCGGCCGTATTGTTGCCATGAGCTGTTTGGGTTTGATATCATGCTGGATGAAAACCTCAAGCCCTGGATTTTAGAGGTCAATATTTCCCCAAGGTAAAGCAGATTCTGAGCTGCAACAGAGTGAATAATGGCCTTCCCTTTAACACAAAATGAGTTTGGCTTGTGATGTCCCCTGTATCCTGTGCTAAAAGACTGTGGGCTCTGAAGCCTCCCTCTCCAGATTGCCAAAATGAAGGTTCTCCCTGTCTGGAAAAGCAACATCCATCTGCAGCTCAGAAAGCTTTGTTGGGCATGCTCCAACTAGAAACAGGGAAGAATACGTTAAAAAAGGAAGACCAAGGAGGGATGTGTCATGTGCAGAACAGATGATAGCAGAGATTTCTTCTCTGCGTGGGCAAAAGTGATGAGCAGTTCTACTGCCTCGTGCACCATTTCTTCCTTGCTGACAGCACCCAGCCAGGCAGTGTCAGCTGTGCACACGGGGCTGGGAACTGCAGTATTACTGAGCATGGCCTTTCCTGCCCACAAGAGTGGGTGGGCATGAACTGGATACAGAGCCCTGGTCCTGCACAGGACTCTGGGGATGGATTTGCTTATTTCCAGCAAATTTGGGAAGAGATGGAAAAATGAACCATTTCTGATGGGGAACTCCCCTTTCAAAGAGCTGTTGTCAGGATTTTTCTCTCAGTGTCTCGTGGCTGGCTGTGATGAGGCAAGGGACAGGCTGGTGTTTGTATTCTGGTTGGTAATAACCCAGGGATTGATCTCAGAGCTGTGGGGCTCAGCACCTCCATTCTATCACTCAAACTGCTGTTATGCTTTGTCTCTGCAGCCTCCACTCCAACTCACCTCTGGATGTGAGCATCAAGGGCCAGATGATTCGGGATGTTCTCAACCTTGCCGGCTTTGTTCTGCCCAGCATGGACAGCGTGGCCTCAAGGCCAGAGACAAGAAGTAGCCCTACCTGCAGGTCAGCCCCCTTCTCTGTCAGAGAGGCAGACTTTTTCTTAAGGGATTTTATCTGGGAGGCTACTTAGAGCCCAGCAAATGCTGGGCTGTTGAGAGCCTATGCTTGCTGGTCCTTCAGATATGGGTCCAAGAACTTGCATCATTGCCTGGGTATCTGGTTTCTGTGATCTCTTCAAGGCAGAAGGATTTATGCCCTCTCTGCAGGTCCATAGTTGGAAGTGAGGCCAATGTAATTTGTGCTTGCTCTGCAGTTAGTCAAGCTCTCTCATCTTTCCCCCTACCAGAACTAATATGGTGCTGAGCCTCACAGCCTCTCAGTTTGCTTGAAACCTTCCTCTCCAGATTGCAGGAATGAAAGTCCCCCATGTCTGCAAAAGCAGCATTCATCTGCAGCTTAGAAAGCTTTGCTGGGGATGCTCGTTGGCTCTGTTGGGGCTAGATCCACTTACCCTCTGACTTACCAGAACTGATGTGCCACTGCTTTGAGCAAGAGGAGCACCTCTTATTTTACAAGGGCTAGATTGATTAGTTCCTTAGGCAGGACTGCTGCTGTCAGAGGCTGCAGACCTGTGGATAGGGATGTGCACAGTCTTAACCTTGCAGCTAACATGACTGATTCTTGCATAAGGTTAATTCCTGGGCATGTGTCCATTCAGGCCCCTGTTCCTCATCACAGCTAGGGCTTATCCTGGTTTCAAACCCAATGGCTGGGAGGAAACTGGTCTGTTCCTGCAGCAGAGCGGCTGCTGACCATATGTCACTGAAGGAGCAGCTTGCTGGGATGAGCACCAGCATGCAGTGATGTGTGGGCATGCCAAAAGATGGGGCTCTTGCCCTCTCTGTGCCCTGTTCCTTCAGTGAAGGGGGAAGCAGGAGCATGGACCTGTTCCAGACAGGGAGCTCTCGCCAGCTCATCTGCGGTGCTTTGATCACACACTGCTTTGTGGCTTCCGATGGAGGTGCTGAAGGGCAGGTGTCCTCGGAGGGACCTGCAGGGGATTAAGCGGATCCTTAACATGGTTCAGATGATGCATTACCAGAGTTCTTGCATTCAGGGACAAGCTTGTTTAATAGTATCTCCTGCTCTGGGAAGGATATGAAAGGTCTTTTTTCATATGGGGCTAATTCCAGTAGATCTGTATGTTCCCTGAGCACCATGCAACACAACCTCAAAGCTCTGTTCCCCCTGTTTGAACCTACACACAGCTAATTACTTTTGCAGCAGCAGAACAAAAAAAGCTGTGTTGATAGCTCGGTTGAAAGATTTTCAAGAAGTATCTCCCAGACTCTGGCATCCCTGAGTGGTTTAGTTGGTGCTTAGAATACTTTAGATGGTTGCTGGTCAGGTAGTACAAAAGGCCAGGATTTCCCATGGCATGTGGAGCTGGAGCTGGATTCAAGTTTTGAGAGTTCTTGGATGTCAGAGGAAGTTTTTGACCTAGGAGTCCTCTTCTTCCCTGTACAGTACCAGTACTGAGTACTCGTACCCTCATCCCTGTGGTTGCAGCTAGGAAGCTGTTTTCCAAGTGGAATGTAAACATGAGATCCCTCCAGACTTCATGTGCTGTGAATCATGTCACAGTGTGTCTTTGACCCTCTTGCATCCTGTGTGAGTGTGAAGTGATGTTTCACCTTTTGTATGAAGGAACACTGAAATGCCTTAGCAAGGAGCTGGCAGAGTCCTCCCAGTTTCCCTGCCCACAGCCTTCCTGTGGTGATGCACAAGGCTGTGGGTGCGTCACTGGTCTTGGAACTAGTGAAATCCTCGAAGAAAGTGTTTTCTCTCCTCCATGGCATCTTTCTGAGAGTGTCACTGCTCTCTCAGAAATTGCTGGGAGCAGATCTGCCATAGGAGGGCTTTGTCTTGTTTGCTTAAATGCTTTACTACCTCTCTTGTGTCCTCAGTATGGACAGTGCTTTGAAGGAGAAGCCCAAACCAGTATCTGAGCATTTCAGAGCAGAGAAGATGAAGCAGGCTTATTACTTGATGCAGAAGATACCTGACCAGGTATGAAACAATCTCCTTTGGTAGTTGCACCATCCTCCCAAGCCCCTGTCCCCACCAATCACACAGGGCTATCCCTGGTCCCTCTTCATATTGTGTCCCTCTCTGAGGTCAGCCAAGTGATGGGGCACACTTGGGCTCCAGTGGGTTACAAGATCACTGATCAGAAATAAATTGGGTTTACTTAAGCCAAGGTCTCACTGACTCATCTTTACATAAAAATAAGTGTGTGCTGAGAGGCACGTTGCCCACCAGTCCCCAAAACAGAGCCTGAGCACTGCCTATTCCTCCTTATGTCTCTGTGCAGCTCTTATAGCCTTTGCCTGCTGACCCCATGCAGCTTAGCAGGGCTGCTGGCCTTGTGTGCCTCCTGGCAGTGTGTGGGAGAGAGATTGGGCTGCAGAAATGGGGATCTCTTCAATTCTGTGCTGTGTTGATGTTATCACTGAGCCTAGAGTCCTTCAGTTTTCTTGTGGCCTGTGTCCCAAAGACCTCAGACACATGGAGACCTCTGGTTGAGACAGGCTTCTCCTTGACCCTGGCTTGCTCTTGTCTGCAGGATTTTTATTCTTCTGTCTTGGACATCCTGACCCCAGATGATGTTCGCATCCTGGTGGAGACAGAGGATGAGTATTCCCGGCGTGGGCAGTTCGAGAGGGTGTTCCCCAGCCACATCTCTATGCGGTACCTGCGCTTCTTCGAGCAGCCTCGTTACTTCAACATCCTGGTGACACAGTGGGAGCTCAAATACTACTTGAATAGACAGAAAGGTAACTGCCCTCCTAAAGCCTGGCACAGCCACCTGAGTCAGGCATGCTGCCTGCCGGCAGTCGTGGGAGGCTTCTGAGCTACGCATGTTCAGAGGGAGCTGCCTGCCTGCACACTAACCCATAGGAAATGTGTTACCCTCCCAGACTGCTTCAAATATCACAAAAAGCTTATTCTGAGTTGAAAAGAGGTGATGACTGTTCTGGTAAATGCAGCAATAGCGTTTCTAGGTGCCTTGGGGATGAAGAGGCTGGGATTAGCTACAGCAGCCTGTGGCTCTGGCATCTTTTGAGGGAGAAACAACTGGAGTTCCCAGCTTTGCTCCTTACAGGTGATCTGGGAAGTGAAGGAAGAATTTGACCTGTTCCCTGGTCTCCTGCAGCTTTCTGATTGATGAAGAATTGTCAGCATGCAGACAGAAAATCTTCCTAAGCACTAGAAATCTAGCTAACATTTCCACCTTTCCAGGACACAGTTCTGTATTTTACTAAGAAACATCCTTTAATGAGGTTGGGCTGGACTAATTACTTCTCACCCAGGGCTCTCTCTGTCAGGGTAACAGTAGAGGCTATTTGGGAGAGAGAATCAGTGAGGTCTAGCATGAAGGGTTAGAGGACAAAAAGAAAGAGACTGTGGCTCAAGGCTCTCCATTGAACATCTGATGTAGTTGGATAGGCTTCTGCAGGAGCTGGCCCTCCACTGTGGGAGCTGTAAATGTGCTCCCAGCCTGGCTGTCATGCAAAGAAAAAAGAAAAATGCTTTTGTCCCTTTTCACTGGTGTTAAAGCAAATATCAAAAGGGTCAGTAACAGTCTTTCACAGGGAGATGGAAACCTCATAGCTCTCTCCAGCTGCGCTGTCAGCATGTGTCATCCTTTGCCTCGCTAATACCTTTGCTGGATGCTCTCCCGTCAGCTGGAAGAAAGATTCTGTCATCGTTCTCACTGAAGTGCTGCCCTGAACTTTGCCGCTTAGGCCAGGTCCTGGTTCAGTGCTCCAGCTTCCCCAAAGCAGCGCAGTGAGCGGATTTACTCTACCCACTCATTGCTGTTCACCTCTGAGCAGAACCCAACTTCCCCTCTCCCCTTCCTGTTCCCCTGTATTCCATGCAGCCTTCCTCTCACCCTAGCCAGCAAGGTGCAAAGCCTGGGCTGGTGCACAGACCCAGGAGAGGGTATTCAAGCTGTCCCACTCCCCTCAGCCCCAACATGTGGGGTTTTTGGGGTTTTTTTTACAAGATTCTGGGGCTTGCTGAAAGGTCACTGAGGAGCAGGGTTTGGACAGCAAGGATTTCTCCTATAGCCAGGACTGGTATCATATAGCAAACCACAGTAATCCCAGCTGGACAGCATCAAGTTCCTAGCCATTGCTCTGCTGGTTCTTAAATCTCAAGGCACTTCAGCTTTTGCTGTGACCCTAAGGCTCTTAAAAAAGAAAACAGAATGAGAGCAGTCCTGGATTTCTCAATGTTTTGGGGTTATTTCTGGTCAGTGCAATCAAACACATGGCTCTGTTTCAAGATGACCTCACTGTGCTCTGGAGCACCGTGTCTTGTGTGCGGTGAGAGGAGTGGTCCCTTCCAGTCACACTAGTGACGAGCTTGGTCCCACTGTCAGGGATGGAGACCAGGTCTCATCTCATGTTGAGCTCTTACAGATCCCTGCAGGGAGGAGATGATACACTGGGATACTGCAGCTGATCAGTGCTGTGTGAGGAGGAGGTTGCCTGAGCTGCCCTCCTCTGGGAAAGAGGCCGATGACAGCAAAGCTGCTCTACATTTGCATTGTAGGAACTTTCACCGGTGCAGCCCCAATCAGGTGCTGCCATTGGTAGGCACTGGGCTCAGGGGGACAACCAGTGTGGTCTAATTCAGCAAATCCTGTGTTGTCCCAGTTTCCCTGTTTCACTGAGCCTGCTGCACGGAGTGTCTTGGCTCCCTGGGAGGAAGGCAGGCACTGCAGCAGCCCATGCGTTGGTGTTTGCTCATACAAAGGGTGAACGCCCTTGATTTACCCCGTGTTTGCTGGCAGTCAGGCACGTGTTCAAGTAGTTATTGCACAGCATGTTCTGCGTGGTCAGTGCAGCATATTTACATGCCCCAAGCTGGGAAGGCTTAACTCTTTGCAAACCTGGCTGTTCATTCTTACTTCATGTCTTCTGTCACTTCCCAGGTCTGGAGCTACTGAAGAATTGGTGTGTCAAAGGGTACCACACTGGGGCAGGGACAGATTTGGCCCAGATGGTACGTATGACTGTGGGTAAGGTAGTCAGAGAGGTTTATTTGCCTGCCAGAGTTGGGTAGAGGTCCTGCTTGTTCTGCTTCCTCTGGTTCCTGCCTTACCTGTTTACCTTCTTCTTCCCTCTTTGCCAAGGCCTCCAGGAGTCTGGAAAAACCCATGCTGCCCTATTTCCCACTAACATGAAGTCATGAATGGTATATCAGATCTCCCAAGTATTTTGCATCTGGATATCCTTGGGTGTGCTGGGTGCAGCCCTACATATTTGGCACGTGGCCTGCCCTTTAGTCCCCTTTGCGAGGGAGTCATCTCTGTCTGTCACTCCTGTGCCTTACAGCAGACTGATACACTGAAAGAAACCCACTCTTGACCTCGAGATGCTCTACTCCCACTTTCAGCAGAGGGATTCATTAGTCAGAGAGTAAAGACTGCTCTGTTTGCTATTCTTGGAACAGTCTGGTGGCAGTGACGATGTGCGGCAATGAGGCAGCTCTAGCTGAAGCTCTCTAGGGCAGCCTATGGCAGAGCACAGCAGGCTTGAGGGATTTTTACCATGACTTAAATAGCCATTCTGTTGTCTTTCTCTCCTCCTGTAGTGGTCATTGCCAAAGTCTTTCTTCCTCCAGAAGAGTAGCATTCAATCAAATGGCTTCAGCAAACTGGAACTGGGCAGACTGGGGTGAGTTTGCACTGGCCATGACATGCGTGGTGCTCACAGTGTGGCTTTAGGACTAGTGTCCTGGGAGAGAAGTGGCAGCAGGGAAAGCAGCTTTGTTTAAGGGAGAGGAGCAGGTTGGTTTTCAGGCTCTGAAGCCAGCCTCAGCTATCTGGAGAGCAAGCTGGTGGGTCTGGCATGATGTCTGCATAACTGGGCATGTCTCCTTGGCACTGTGCGCCCAGCTCAGATGGGAGTGAAGCCCAGAACAGCCAGATTGAGTAACATTCAGGGCTGTCATGGTCAGGACACGCTGACAAGATATTTCCCTGATAGGGAACTGTGCCACTTCTGTGGGTACTGATGTGGTTAGCAGTGAGCAGAGGCTCAGCTGCAGCATGGGTGGAAGAGCAGTGACGCTCCCAGGCCTGCCACAGTCTACCAGCTTCCCTGAGCAAAGCTGGGCTACTGGCCCTGAGAGCTTCCTGCAGAGAGGTGAAGGACAGGGTCTGGGTGAGCCAAAGTGGAGGGGAGGCACACCCCTCGTCTCTGGTGCTACAGGGAAGTTCATCCATGTTCCTGTGCCCAGGCCAGGATGGACTTGGGTTTACATTTAAACAGGGAGATCAAGCTATGGTCCTGAAGCCCCATCAATGTCTTGGATATCTGTTGGGGTGAGTGGTGCTGCCTGGGATGGGAGATGGAGTAGGTGAGCCTGGCAGCCCTGTCTCTGAGTTTTGTGTGTCATGATACTGCAGATGAATGTTGCACCATGGCCCTTTTGGTCCTTTCTCACTGTCCCTAAGCAGCACAGGGTCTCCTTTCTCCTGCAGCACACATTTCCCTTCAGCTGGTGAGGACCTCACAAGATGCCTGGAGCCCAGCCCTACTCAGAGCTTACCTCTCAACAAGTGCACTGGTGGAGCCAACCAGAGACCTTCTGGCTGCCTCTCGGACACCACCCTGGTGATGTGACCAGACAGCCACTGGGGACACATCAACCTACCTCAAAGGAAGAGACGGGAGCTGGCTCTGTAGAGCAAGGACTGTGGGAGCCCCTTGCACTGCACACTTGCTTGTGGGGCTGTTTTTAGAGAGGGATGTTTTACTGGGCAAAGAGGAGAGCTGTGTGACTTCAGTTTTCAAAACAAATGGCAAAGCCTGAGGAAGTGGGGTTTGTCAGGCCTTTGTCCTAGGCTGCTTTTAAATCCTGATGTGGTGGTTTATCTGCTGCATGGGAGTCGGCTGAGCCTGCCCTTTTTGTCCCCAACCAGCATAGGCTGAGCCCTTGGTTGCCTGTGTCTCTGTGTCCTGAGCTGCTGGCAGCCAAGTGTGCTCCTGCCCTGCTGCAGCCTGGGTCCTGGAGAAAAGTCCCCAATCGGTACCCCACTCCTCTGGAAGGAGCAGGGCTTGGGATCTTTTCTGAATGCCGGTGCCAACATCCTGCCCTCCCCCAGCATCGGACCCTGGGGGATACCTCAGGCTTGCACATTGCTGCTCAAGAGACACCATGAGTAGCAGCTTGGCTGCAGTTTGTTGTGGGGACAGTAGGGCTGCTGGGGATGGAACAGCTGAGCTCATCGGCTCTCTGGTGTGCCCTGCAGCATACGTGCGTGGACTGCAGGCTGATGCTCTTCTGGGCTCTGCTCTCTATTTTCCATTTGTTTCTCAAGGATTTTTATTAAAGTTTAACGCTCAGCTGCTCTCCTCATTCTCATCTGTCTCTCTTTCCCTGATCTCTTTGTGTCTGGGATGCAGCTCAGCTCTTCCCACGGGACTTCACTGGGCTCTGGTACAGTGTGGGTTTGTGCTACCACCCCCCTTTTTCCCTGTCCTTCTTCTAGCAGGGGGTAATTCTTGCTGCCCTGAGGGCAGGTGTGTGTGCCCCCCTGCATGGAGGAGCAGCTCCCAGCATCACTGCCTTATGTCCTAGGGACTCTCCTGTAACTAAGGGGAACAGAGCAGTCCAGCCTTACAGTAGAGGGAGGAAGAGCTGGGTGCTGGTTCAGGGCTATGTTCCCCCAGCCTGCTAGCTGGATGCTGGCCGCTTGGGCAGGTTGTTGGAGGCTAGAGGAGATGCTGAGCTTCTGGTGTGGGCCCTGGGGCTTACAGAAAGCCCTTCCTTCCCCTCTCCTTGCAGCCCCCCGTTTCCCAGCACTGGGCCCTGTTTCTCCGGTCTCCTTGGTGACAATCTCATCTCTCATCGGCTTCTCTCCAGCACCTGAAAATAGCCTCCGAAAGTGGAGATGCCTGCCCCCTTCCCTGCTGCCAGCACCCGCGATGGCCAGGCTGGAGCCAGGCTGCTCTGCACGGTACAGCTGTAGCGGCCCGCCCCCATCGCCCTCTGCACCGCTGCGGGGCCCGGGCCGCGCTGTGTCCTCCTGTCACCCCAGTACCGAGCTCTCGGCCTCGTCCCTTCTCCTGCCTGCCGTGAGGCAGCACCAGGGGATTCCTTGCCCTCCGCCATGGGCCAGTGTCTCCAGCTGTCTGTCCCCTGGAACCAGGCAAAGCCCTGTCCTCTTGACCCGGCAGCCACCAGCCCGCTCGCCCACGGCTGCCCCGGGCCGGCCCGACAGCTGGCCAAGGTGCTATTTGAACCTCCCTGAAACAGAAGTGGAGCCGAGAGCGGGCGGAGGGCGGGCAGGCGGCAAGGAAGGAAGTTCCCCAGCAGATTTGGCTGCCCCCGCCGTGGGGCCGGGGTGGCCGGGCACAATGAGCCGCAGCAGGACCCCGGGCAAGCGCGGGCAGGGGCAGGCAGGGCTGGCCAGCCTCGAGGACGAGGGGTCTGCAGCCGCTGTGACCGCCTCTCAGCCCATGACTGGACCCAGCCCTTCTTCACCACCTGCGGGGAGGGGGACTCGCTGTCCCCCACCCGCGATGGGGCGGGAGCACTACCGGGCGGGCAGGGCTCTGAACACCGCTCCTGGAGGACGGGAGTCCGTGAAGCGGGGTGCCCTCCTGCTCTCTGTCCCCAGCCACCCCTCTATCGCCCCTTCCCTCGGATCCCCAGGGCCAACGCTGTCCTTGGGGCCGCGGCCACCCGCTCCAGCCCGGGGCTGCGGGCGCTACCCGGCCGTGTCGGCCGTGTCCCCCCCCCGCGGCGGTGGTGGGGGCACGGCTGGCATTGCTCGCTGACACCCTATCTGCCAGGGCCACGCCAGCCGCGGGCCCAGAATAGCAGCGCTGCCCCGCAGATAGTCAGCATGGAGCGGCTCCGCGGCCCCGCTGTGTCCCAGGTACCGCCGGGCTGGGTGGGGGGTCCTGTCCGATAGCCCCTCGCTCGGGGAGGCCATCCCCGAGGTGGGGGAATGTGAGGGGCTGCCGGGCCCCTTCCCACGGACATACAGCCAAGGGGACAAGGACGCCCTTGTCTCAGCTGTACCCAGACCCTTGGGAAGGGTAGGGGGACATGTATGCAGGGTCTCTTCCTTCCCGGGGCTGGCTCTGGGCTCCTTAGGGAGCAGTCGCTGTACCTTCTTTATTTTAGGATGGCCTGTAAACATTAGCTCTGTCAGGTACGTTTGTGACCGGGGTTGCTCTTCCCTCTGCACATGCTGCTGTGTTATGGTAGGGTCTCCTGGGGACTGGGGAGCACGGGGTCAGACGTCCGGCCCCGTGGCCTCCCTTCTGGGGCTACCCCCTCATTATTGTAGGTCTCCTGGGACGGACCTGGTCCCCGGGGGAAGCCGGTGGGGCTGGTGAGGCTCCTGGCATGGGAAGAAGCAAGACCAGGATTTACACCTTGGGATTGGGAGAGGATGGACTCAGAGCCACTGTGGGACCTGCTGGGCTCCAACAGCAGAGAGAGAAGGCGGGAGGTCCTGCCATTCATGCCCTGCCCTGCCCTGCTCTGGGGACCCCCACTGGCCCCCCAGAGCAGGGAAACAAGCTGGGTGCCCTGGGCTGGAGCCACCATGGAGGCTGCGGGCCCTGGGGATCCTGTGCTGGCAGAGGGCTGCCAAGCGGGACTGGGGGCTCAGCCCCGCCCTCATCCCCACCCTGAAAGGACAGTCCGGCTCTGGTGAACTGGAACAGGGTGGATGCAGGCAGCATCCGTGGGTGGGGGAAAGGCTGGACTCCTGCTAACCCCTCCTTGCTGTGTGCCCTCTCAGGTGGCGCTGCTGGATACTGCTGCCTGCCCTAAGGAGGAAGGTGGGTAGCAGGTAGAGCTTAGGTGTGTAGGAGGCAGGGACTGCCTTAGTCGTGTGATGAGTACACTGGTCCTCTGCCCACCCTGCCCATACCCCTCGTCACCCTCACTCCTCAGCTGAAGTACGCCCCAGGCTGGAGAACTGCAGTGCTGTGTGCTGCCCCTGTGGAGTAGGGAACAGGGAGGCTCCGTGGGGAGCATCCTCTGCTCCCCCCCAGGCAGGAGGTTGCTGAGACTCAGCATCTCAGCTCGTTGTCTGGGGCTGGGATTGCTTTTCCTGCAGGGTTCTCAGAGGCCCTATGCCCCAGGGAGGAGGAAGAGGAGGAGGAAGAATACAGGCAAAGGAGATCTGTCACCTTCACACTGGGAAATGAGATACTGGGACTGGGCCCAGAAAGTGAGTTTCAGAGCCCTGACGCCGAGATCTACATGCACTTCCTAAGGAGCCACTGCTGCTACGATGCCATCCCCACCAGCTGCAAGCTTGTCGTCTTTGACATCTCCCTGGAGGTGACAAAGCAGGGGATCAGCGGGGATGGGCAGTGGAGGAGCAGGCTCAGGACCCCCTGATCCCCTCCCCACTCTGTCAGCAGATCAAGAAAGCCTTTCTGGCACTGGTGGCCAATGGGGTGCGTGCTGCCCCACTCTGGGACAGCAAGACACAGAGCTTTGTGGGTGAGTGCCAGCAGTGCTGCCTGGCCCCCTCCCTGGCCTGGCAGTGAGGGTGCAGGCAGTGCTGCCAGCCCCACGTGTCTCCACAGGGATGCTCACCATCACTGACTTCATCAACATCCTCCACCGTTACTACCGCTCACCCCTGGTGAGTTTGGTGGGGAGGGCATGAGAGATCGGGGTATGCATGGGGCAGGGAGGGGCTGTCCCCACCTCTCCTGGTCTCCTCTTCATCACTGGACTGTGACCAGGGGATGATTCTGGGCCAGGGCAGCATCTGCTTTTTGCCCATCTGCCTGGCACTGAAAATGTAATTCCTGTGCTTAGGGTGATGGGGCGGGATGCCTGGGGAAAGGGGCAGTGTCTCACAGTGCCCTCAGTTCCCCATGAGCCCCCATAACCAGAGCATTTCCCTGCCTTCAGGTTCAAATCTATGAGGTGGAGGAGCACAAAATTGAGACCTGGAGAGGTAAAAATCATGGGATGATAGGGGTGGCTGGGCAGGATGTTGTGCAGGGCATAGAGGTGAGCTCTGGGTTGTGGGGCTGCATGAGAGGGCTGGAGGACGCCCTCTTCCACCTGTCTCCCTTGGCAGAGGTGTACCTGCAGGGCTCCTTCAAGCCGTTGGTCTACATCTCCCCAAGCAATAGGTGAGAGCCTGTCCACTGGGGGTGAGTACACCTCTTGGAGTGGGGGTGTGTGTGCCTGTGTTGCAGCCCTATCCCACCACGATGTCCCCATCACCCACAGCCTCTTCGATGCTGTCTACTCCCTGATCAAGCATAAAATTCACCGCCTACCTGTCATCGAGCCCATCTCAGGCAATGTCCTGCACATCCTGACACACAAGCGCATCCTCAAGTTTCTCCACATCTTTGTGAGTGCTGGGGCTGTGTGTGCACACACATGGCAGGTGCGTAGGGGCACAAACAAGGGTGTCAAAATGTGTGTAGGTGCCAACCAAGCCCTGCCCTGACCCATTGCAGACCTCTACCATTCCCAAGCCACGCTTCCTGAAGAAAACAGTGCAGGAGCTGTGCATTGGCACCTTCCGTGACCTGGCCGTCGTGCCTGAGACTGCCCCGATCTACACTGCCTTGGAGATCTTCGTGGATCGCCGTGTCTCTGCCTTGCCCGTCATCAATGATGCCGGTACCTGGGGAGGAGGAAAGTGACTCCCTTCATCTCCCTCTGCCAGCAGCTCCAGCCCCATTCCCATCCAAAAACCCTCTCCTGGCTCTTGGGCTGCCCCTTGGGGTGTGCAAGGAACATGACAAATGGTCCCCAAGGCCCCCTCCTCAGCTCCTGCCCTGTTTCTCTTTGCAGGGCAAGTGGTTGGCCTGTACTCCCGGTTCGATGTCATTGTGAGTACCCTGTGTGTTTGCACGCCTGAACACAAGTGTGGCCCCTTGCATGCACTGGTGGGGGCTGTTCACACTTATCTGTGCCTGTGTAAACCCATCCCAAATACAGTGTCCTGCACATGCCAGTGCACATCTGCTCTGTGCATCCCCAGGACTCAGTGTCCCCTCTGTGTTGGCACAACGGGGTGTGAGGACACACTGGGGTGCTGAATGGGGTCACACCTCCCACAGCACCTGGCAGCCCAGAAGACCTATAACAACCTGGACATCAGTGTGCGGGAGGCACTGCGGCAGCGCACTACCTGCCTGGAGGGGGTCATCACCTGCTACCCCCATGAGCCCATGGAGGACATCATTGATCGCTTTGCCAAGGAGCAGGTGAGTGGTTGGGGTGCCTTGTGCCAGCACAACCACCCCTGCCAGCTGCCCAGCGTGCCCATGATGGTCTGCCTGCACCCACAGGTCCATCGCCTGGTTCTGGTAGATGAGAACCAGTACCCGCGGGGCATCGTCTCCCTCTCCGACATCCTCCAGGCCCTTGTGCTCACTCCCGCAGGTATCGATGCTCTTAACTCTTAGCCCACGACACTCCATCTTTCTCCACTTGCACTCTGCATTTCTCTCCACTTCAGGTAGGCGCTGTCCTCTGTCACTGTGGGCCTGTTCCCTCCCTGACACTGGGTCACCTGCACCTTGTCACTTTCCTGCTCAGACTACCTGCCTCCACCCCAGCCAAACTGGCCCTGAGGGATGAAGGAGGCTGGGGCTGGGGTCTGGAAGAACTGGGTGCCTGGGGGGGGACAGCAGGACCCAGATGCTGCTTGTCCCGGGGTACACAAGAATCACAGGAGGACCCCTGGTGTCCATGAGGAGGGATGGGGGCACTTGCCATGGAGACAGCTCCCCTAGACCCCCATTCAGGCAGTGAATGGAATGCAGGTTTTGCAGGTCTCTGGGCTTTGGGCTGGATGAGGGTTTTGGGGTGTGATGCACCCTAAGACAAAAGCCTATTTTTAATCTTACCTCAAACCCTGAGATCTGAGTACCTCCAGTGCCATTCCTGGGGAACACAGAGGGGACAGGTCTCCACTTGCACCCTCATGACATGCTGCCCACAACTAGCCACGTGTACACCATGCCTGACCCATGGGCCCTGGCTGGCAGAGGCCCCCAACCCCTCTCCACCTGTAGCAGCCCCAAAACTGCCTGCTCCATGGACAGGGTTCACTCTCAGGTGGCACTGGGACCATGCTGCCTGATTGCCTGCAGCTGGGTCTGCTCACCCACTGCCTGGTGAGTCCTCACTGTGATGGGTGGGCATTGTGCTTGCACACACTGTGGCACCTCTTTAGGAGTGAAATGGGAAGGGGGGAGCTGGCCCTGGGTCCCAGCTGCTTTCCAAAGGTAATGATGCTTTTTTTGGGGTAGTGGTGGGGAATGGGCTTGGGACAGCCCCACGTCCACCAGTTCCCCCAGCAGTGCCCAGCTGCTCTGCACAGGAGGGGACAGGGAGTGGTGTGTGTGAGCCACAAGTGAGACAAGCCCCTTCCCCCCATTTCCCAGTCATGGTGTCTTCGCTTACCCCATTCCTGGTGCCCACAGGGGTGGCTGCATCAGGAACTCCAGGGGGCCCTCTCCAGGCCAGCTGCCCTCCCTCCTAGCCCAGAGCTTGCATCCAAGCCAGGAATGGAGGCAAGACCCGTGTCCACCAGGATGGGTTGGGAGGGCCATGCCACAGGGTGCCCAGTCCAGCACTGTTTTAGGGTTATGCCCTTGCATGCTTTCTTGCCTTGCAGGCATTAATCGATCCTCACTCTGAAGACACCAGGAAGTGCCACTGTCTTGTTTGACTCAAGGGTCTCTTGCATGGCCTGTGAGAAGGAGGCTTTGGCCTGAAGGCTCTCTGCAGGGAGGATCTGCCTGTTCACCCCAGTCCTGGGGCTCGTCTTGAGTCCAGGGCCAGATCCTGTCAGCCTTGGGGAGGTAGAAAGGGTGGAAAAGGGGGCACCGGGGTACCTCCTGCCAGTGAGCACAGTGATGCTCGATGGGCACTGTGCTGGAGGAGCTGTGACATGCCTGTGGCTGGGCACAGAGACCCACAGAGCCCCAGAAGACCTGGTCACTCCACTCCCATCCCACTGCTGCATTCGAGCATTTCCACTGTGGCTCCCTCCTGGTGAACACAGTCCCACCGTCTGTGCCCAGTGCCTGGTAGCATAGGCTCAGCTGCACACACAGGCTTGTTTATTGTAGGCTCACATGGGGCTGGAGCTCCCTGGCAGAGGCACAACCTGTGCAAAAGCTGGCACCAGGATGGGCACTTGCATGGGGACCCTGTGCACTTTTTGGGGTGGGAAGGGAATACTTATTTATTTGTTGGTCTGTTCAGCCTCATTGTAACAAAGCAGCCTGATCCAAGAACTGCCTCTTGCCTTTCTGGGATAAAGCTGGGCATAGCTGCTCTGGAGAGAGCAGGGCTCGGAAGGGGGGTACTGGCTGCTTGGCAGGGCTGGGGAACCCAGCCTGGAATGCCAGCAAGAGTGGCATGGGCACAGGGGGTAGAGCCAAGGCGACAGGGAAACAGGGCATGCAGCCTTGATTACAGTGGTGGTGTGAGGGCCCTTCAGGGATGCCCCAGGCACAGCAGCCTTGGTGCCAGCAAGGTTTCTGCCTGCTGCTTCCCTCAGTCCAAGAAGTAGGAAGGTGAGAGTGGTTCACTGTTAGGGTGTCCCATGCCCCAGGACACCGGGTAAGAGGTAATGCACCCCTTGCCTGTGGCTGCTACCAGCTCTGAGCCCCTGTGATTGCCCTGGATATCAGCCCCATGCCCCGACTTGGGGATGGGGGGTGCTGACCTGATCTTTCTCTGCCTGCTTCACATGGAGCAAGCTCTGCCACTCCCGTGACCCATAACAGCATCTCAGTGCAACAGCGGCTGATAGTGGAAGATCCCAGGTGCTAAACACTCCTCCTGTGTTGGCTGGTTCTGCTAGGGGACATGATACCAGTGCTGGGTGGTGACAGGCCTCTTCCCCTCACTGGGGATGAGCTGTGTTATTGCTTTGCTTTCCCAGCTCCACCCCTCAGGAGAGGCGCAAACCCCAAACCCGGCCAGCGCTCAACCCTCCCCTGGGAGGCATGGGGGAAACTGAGGAACAGAGAAGCTTCTGAGGCCAAGATCAGCTGTTCAGAAAGGACCCAGATGTCCTGGCTCCAGGCACAGATCCACGCGCAGCTACACAAGGACAGGACGAAGGAGACACCAAATGGCTGCAAAACCCCTCCCTGCTTCCCCCCTGCCCTGACAGAGCTCCCAGGTCCCCAACACAGCCCAGCTGGGCATGGGATAGGGGCAACACAACAACCCCTGAAGTGTGTGAAAGGCACAGCAGTTCCCCAAGCCTCCCGCTGATTTGGGGTAGGGGGCTACTAGTGCCCCAGGGGCAATTTGGGGACAGTCTCTTATCCTCTTCGTCTTCCCCACAGTGGGGGTGGGAGCCCCCTGACCCAAGCTGGGCAGAGGATGGTTTTGCCTTCTGCCTGCCCCTCCCTGTGGGGCAGCGGGGGTTCTCCATTTGGCACCCAGGGTCAGGGGTGGACGTGCAGTCAGGGGGCTTCCGGACGAGCAATGAACTCCAGATTGATGGGCTTGTCGGCCACCAGGACAATGCGGGACACAGATGTCACCTCCACGCCACGGGGGTCTGGCCGCACCTCGAATGCTTGGATGATCTGTGGGAAGAAGGGGGATGGTAGTGCCTTGGGGACTCCCTGGGGCCCTCATCCCAGCTCATGGCAAGATAACCAGAGTGGGGGGGTCCCTACTCACCCTGGCGAGGGCCAGGTGCATCTCCAGCTCAGCAATGCGGCGTCCAACACAGGCACGAACCCCGTAGCCAAAGGGGATGGAGCTGAAGGGGTGATGGGGGGACCCATATCCGCGGAGCCAGCGCTGGGGCAGGAATCGCTCAGGCTCAGGGAAGTAGGTCTCATCGTGGGACATCGCGTAGTGGGCCAGGACAAAGAGGGTCTGCAGGGCAGTAAGTGGGGGTTAATGACCCGACCCAGCCCCACTGAGCACAGTGGGGGTCCCCACGCCACAGCCCCCACTCACATTCTTGGGGAAGAGGTAGTCTCCGATGACAATGTCCTTCTCATAGAAGACCCTGGCGTTGGTGGGCACCACGGGGTAGACCCTGGGATATGGGGAGAATTAGTGCTGGAGCAGGACCCATCTAGAGATCCCAGATAGACAGAGCTGCAGGCAGGACAATGGGGAGCACCTCCTGCTGCTCAGCAGCTCCCTAGGGAGGAGGTGGATATATGTGGTCCTGAGGGACTGAAATTCAGCCTCCCATATCGCTTGGTTGGTGCATTTTCCCCAGAGAAGAGGCTGATGACCAGGACCTCAGGGCAGGGGCAAGGCTGGGCTGTACCTCAGTGTCTCCTTGATAATGGCCCGAAGCATCGGCAACTTGGGGATATCCTCAGCAGCAGGAAACCGGTTGGCAGGCACAACAGCTTTCAGCTCCTGGTACAGGGTCTCCTGGATGCCTGGGTCCCGGGAGAGGTGGTACAAGGCCCAGGACAGTGTGTTGGAGGTCTGGGGGAGTGGAGAACCAAGGGGAGTGAGAGAACTGTGGCTAGTACCTGAGCAGCCTTGTACTAAGCACAGCACCAGTATGGCACCAGAGAACCCCTGCTCTGGTGTGCAGGGAAGTCAGGGGTGAGGGGCAGCAGGCACAGGGGAAAGTGGGATGGGGAACATGACAGGGAGCAGAGCAGAGGACAGGGATTGTGCTGACTGATCCCTGAGGGTTTACCCCTGGGGAGGATCAGCCTCCCAGCCACCAGGCCAGAGCTTGCAGGGGCAGGGCTGAGCATGGCCCTGTAGGTTCCCCTGGGCATGGAGCTCAGCAGGGATCCCCTGGCAGCAGCTGTCTGGCTCTCACCGTGTCCACACCAGCCAGCAGCAGCTCGGCCACGCTGCCGTAGACCTCATCCAGGCTGAGTCTGCCACTGGCCAGCAGGTAGCTCAGGTAGCCGGACACCTCCTTGCCGCGCTCTACTTGCCCCTCCAGCTCCTCCATCTTTCGGTCAATCAGGGTCTTGCCTGCAGGGACAGAGAGAGGGACCCAGAGCTGACAGAGCAAGGACTGCCAAAAGGACATGTGGCCAGGGACTGCTCCACTTTTGAGTGTCCTTAGGGAGTCCAATCCCACTGTGCTGGGTCCCCCTCGTCACTGCTCACCAAAGGCGAAGATGGTGTCCCAGCTGTTCAAGTAGCGGTCCCAGAAGGGCAGCACCTTGCGGCTCCATCGGGGCAGGACGGTGGCGAAGATGGAGTTCTTGAACATGAGGTTGATGGAGTCAATGAAGCGCTGGGTCTCGGCAGGGACCTGCTGCTTCAGGCACCCAATGCGGGTCTCGAAGAGGATATAGGAGATCCCTGTGGGGGACAGACAGTATCCAGACCTCCGGGGGGATGGGAAGAGTGGGGCAGGGCAGGGGTGAGGGGGAAGAACCCCCTACCTTCGAGGGCAAAGCGGTAGAGCAGGTTGGCCACGTCCTCCACCAGCACCCCTGAGGAGCTGCGGCTCCGCTCCTCCCGCAGCCGCACCATCAGGTCTGACACCACCTCCCCGATGGCATCCGCGTACAGCACTGCCTCTGACGGCTTCAGCAGCCGTTTGTTGAGGACCTGGCGCAGGCGGTACCAGCGCTCCCCTTCCCTGGATGGGGACAAGGCTCAGAGCTGGCTGCATGGATGGACAGGGGGCAGTGGCTGGCAGCAGTGTCCCAACACTCCCAACTCCAGCCTGGAACCACCCCAGGGGTCTTTCCACCCACCATGGGCATGGCCATGCCCTTCTCCTCAGTGGGGACATGCACCTTACAGGAGAGGGAGCAATGCAAGTTGCCACCTAGGCACCTAAGGAAGGGACAGGAGATGTGTGCTGTCCCACAGAGGACAGCCAGGACAGGACTCACTCAGTGAAGGGTCCATAGGGCAGGCTGCGAGTGTCCCGGTGCTCCTTCCACAGGGCCATGTCACTCCGCATGGGGTACTTGCCCTCCTGCCGCAGCAGCTGCTCCAGCACCACTGGGCTCCCAATGTTGATGTTCCTATAATGCCCGAAGGTCGACTTCCAGATAGGGCCATAAAGGCGTCGGGACATCACCTGCAATGCACAAAGCATGGCAGGGTGAATGGGACAGGGGTTGGATCAGACCCTCCCTGCCCCAGTGCTGGCCCTGCATGTACCTAGCACCCTCTGTACCCATCCCGTGGACCTCCCAGCACCAGATGAGCCCAAGCACCTCCCCCTGACTCTCCAAGCTGGCACCATCCTTGAAGTGCTCTGCAGATGGCCTGGGCTGGTGTCTCCAGGTGCATTACATCTGCCAGCACTAAGCACACCAGGCACTGACTCCCAGCGCAGACTGGCATGTCCCCCACCGATCCCAGAGATACACAGGGAGCCTGGTGGGACTTTTGGGGAAGGAAGACCAAAAGAGGACAGCAGAGACAAAGACAACTGCCAAGCACAGGTCTGTGCTGCGATGCAGGACCATTGCAGCAGTTGTCAGCAGGTCCAAGTCCTGCTGCTTCCAGCACGGCCTCAGTTCTGATTAACCTGGGGACAGTGGTCCCTGAGTGGGTCCTTGAACTCACCACCCAAAAGGGTGGTTAATGATCAGCAGTGGGATGGCAGAGCCAGGCCAGGACATGACTGGGCTGCTCCCAGAGCAGGCTGTCACCTCTGGGGCATGGCCTGGGGCCACAGGCTCACAAATCAGCTAGGAGACATCCACAGCATCAGCCCTGCTCTGATCTCTGTTGGCTGCAGCTCCCCTCTCCTCTACTGCACCCAAGGGTTCCATGCCTGCCTCCCTGCCAGGGAGCACCATGCCCCCCTCTTGGGGGCAGCTGGGCACCCCTTTGTAAGTGGATCTGCACAGGGCCGTGTCCAAGGGGACATGGCATCTCCATCCCAGTCAGGCACTGACAGAGCCCCTGCAGAGCATGGCCAAGCATGGGGACCTGAGGGGGGCCTAGTAGGGAAGCCTTGATCCCCATTCCCCGTGGCTGCAGGGATGCACGTGGTACAATCTCCCTTGGTGACTGACTGCATCGCAGCCTGTGCCTGGATTCAGCTGGATTCGTCACCAAAGGGAGACGTTCCTCGTGCATGGTGGCAGCAGGAGGGGGAGGGACAGCCGCCCCGGTACAGCAGGCGGCTACTGGGCATGGGGCAGCTGTGGCCTGGGTTGAAGCCTGCTCACCAGCATCTGCTGGCAGCCAGGACCTGACACAGCGCAGGCCTTGGAGAGCAGGGCTGAAAGAATCCGGAGCTGCTGGGATCTGGAGAAAGGCACCTCCAGAGCATGTGGGCATCTTTCTGCAAAGCCAGGCTGTGCTCAGAGTCCCAGGGGCAGAAGGGAGCATGAGGGAGCTCGCATGACTACTTGAGATCCCACTGCCCTTGTAGCAACCTCTTCTCCAACCAGCAGTGGCTGGTGCACTGAGATGCCAGGGAGGCCTGATCCCACATGCTTCTCTGGCCGGTCAGAGCTCCAGAGTGCTGGAAGATGCTGCCTGGCTTGCAGCCAGCCAAGCCCATTGCTTGCTTCATCCGAAGAATGAGAAGTGTTGACAGAAGAAAACAAACACCCCTGTCTATCCCTCCTCTGCATGCCTGGGTAACATCTGCCCAAAAACCTCCCTGGGCACATGCTCCCCAGTCGGTTGCCCCTCCAGCTTGTCACAGCTGGGAGCCTGGAGATGCGGGACCCCGTGAGATACCCCTGAACCGCTGCCCTTAAGACTGCCCAGCCGTCTCGGGTATGCTGAGGCAGCCCTGAGCTGGCTGGACCTTCCCGGGGTCACCGGGTTCTGCTGCCCCTCTCCACACTGCTGGCCACAGCACCACTCCACGATGCCGGGGTGCTCACCCCCACCCAGCCCCTCCATTTCCCTGCTCTGCCGCCCCCACTCAACTCCCTGCCGTCACTTGTTGGCGGCTCTTCCCCTCCCTGGAGCCCATCTCCCCTTGTCCCCAGCCCGCATCCACTCCCTCCCTTGCAAAGCCTCCCCAGGGTACAGCATCCTCCCTGCAGCCCACCCGGAAGCCCCTCCATCCCACGCACCTATCTCAGCCCCCCCATCCACGCCCCCGTGTACGGTCCCCAGGCCCCCAGGCACCCCGACCCCCGCACTCCCGCAGCCCCCGGGCCAGACCGTCCCGGCGCACCTGCAGCCGGTGCGTGTGCAGCAAGTAGCCCCGCAGGAACAGCCAGACGAAAGTCCGGAGCAGCCCCGGCCCCGGTAGATCCTCCGGTCCCTTCAGCCGCGCCGGCCCCGCCGCCGCCGCCGCCGCCGAGCCCCCGGTCCTGCGCGGCGGTCCCGGGCTGCTGCAGGGCGGCGGGCGGGGGTGCAGGAGCAGCGGCAGCAGCGGCCGCCGGGCCCCGCCGCTCGAGCCCGCCATGCTCCGTCGGCAGCGCACGGGACGGAGCGGGGCGGGGAGGCACCGGGGGTGGCGGGGGGCGGCACCGGGGGCGGTGCGGGGGGCGGCGCGGGGGCGGCAACCGGACACCGGCACCGGGCACGGCGCACGGGGGATCGAGCATCGCGCACCGGGCACGGCGCACTGGGTACCTCGCACTGCGAATGGAGAATCGCGCACCCCGTGCGCCGCGCAACGGGTACCGGCCGCGGTGCCGGCTGCTGCGCACTGGGTACGGGGCTGTTGCTCCGCGGGCACCGGGCAGTGCATACCGCGCACCTTGTGCCGCCTGCTGCACTCCTGCTACCGGGCCATGGATACCGGCTGCAGTGTACTGGATGCTCCTAACAGCACACCTGGTACCGTATCCCATACACCAAATACTGGACGCTGGACACTGCTCAGCGTCATCACACATCATGCACAGGGTGCTAGGTACTCGGAGCTGGCATCAACGATACTCAGTGCCATGTATCAGTGACTGAGTGCCACGTGTTGTGCATGATGGCACCATGCACAAGGCAGCTGGCAGCCAGTCCCTGATACATGGCAGAGCAGGTACAGCACCCTGGATGCAACGCAGCATGTGGCACCAGCACTGGTACCAGCTCCAGGTGCTGCACACTGGGCATGGCACATGGGCACTGCTCACCAGGCACTGGCACCAGGCACTGCACCAGGCATGGCACAACGTGTGCCAGCACCAGCATCGCACTCTGGCACTGGGTACCACATCCCAGACCCTGCACACCCTGCATCAGCACCAGGCTCACAGCTGGGCCTGCTCTTCAGGGCTCCTTGCCCTTATGGACTGAGCTCTCCTGCCCTGCCTCTGTCTCCTGCCTGTCATCTCCCTGTGCCTGCCTTGTCCCCCAGCAGTGCAGGATGGTGCCCTGGGGAGCTGGGTCCAAGATGTCCCAAGGCCCCTCTCAGCACTTCCTCCAGGTGCTGCCAGCTGGGACCACAGATAGGGAGACCTTGGTATGCCCATTGTGGCTGCTGGCAACACAACCAGAGGCAGGTTTGGTTTGTCTTTATGTGAGGGAGAGAACAACACCAGCTCCTGCCTCAGCCTGGTGCAGGTCAAGCTGTCCAGCCCATGAGCAGGACCTTGCTGTGGTGGTGTTGGACCATGGATTCAGGACATGTCCCCTCTAGCCAGCCTGGCACTGGCACCAGGCCCTGGGGCAGTGGGGCAGGGCAGTGCTCTGTCCAGGTGTCCCTTCTGGAGCATCAGGCACCACGTCTCTGGCTGGGACATCCCAGTGCTGATCATTAACCACCCTTATCGGATGGTGGGTTCAAGGTCCTGGACAGGGAGGTTGTGCCCTCAGGTTGAGCTGTTCCTGCTCTCGGTCCTGCCTCACCGGGAGGTGGGGGGTGTTCTGCGCTGGGTCCCAGGCTGATGCCTTGTGAGCTTTCTGCCAGCCGGGCCGGAACCCAGGCACTCCTCTGCCTGCAGGCAACCCTTAGGCACCCCAGGCTGGGACAGCCAAGCGTGAGCACCTGCTGCCATCTCATGGCTGCTCAGAGCCAGCTCTCCCGCTTGCCCTGCACCGGTCAGGCCCACAACCGGGGCAGCAAGAGAGCCTCGGGCACAGGACTGCTGGGGGGCTTCCTAGCCTGGTGCCTGGACACCAAGCTCTCGCTCCCCCCGGCAGGGGACGCCTCGGCTCCTCTTAACCCGCTGTAAACGAGTTTCGACTTGCTGGAGAGTAGGACCCTACCACCTCTTTCAGTTTAAAACCACCACCTCCTGCAAAAAGAGTAACAGTCTCTCTCCCCTTTTCTTATAAACCCCTTCATATATTAAAAGGCTGCAATAAGATGTTCCTGTGCCTTCTCCAGGTTGAATAAACCCCAAATCCCCTGTTTTCATGGGAGAGGTGCTCCAGCCCCACGATTAGCTTTGTGGTCTCTGGACCCGTTCTAGCAGGTTCATGTCTCTCTTGCACTGAGGACCCTAGAGCTGGATGCAGCACTCCACTCGTGGGCTCTCATGAGTGTGGAGTGGAGCAGCGGCATCACCTCCCCTGCCCTGCCCTGCCGGCCATGCTTCTTGTTTTCTAGTCTCAGACGCGATCTGCTTTCTGGGCTGCAAGTGCACATTGCCAGCTCATATGTATTTCTGATCCACTAGTATCCCCAGGTCCTTCTCTGCAGGACTGCTCTCCATCCATCCATCCATCCATCCATCCATCCATCCATCCATCCATCCATCCATCCATCCATCCATCCATCTTTCACTCAGCCAGAACAGGTACTGGGGTCACCCCGACACGGGTGCAGGACCACCGCAGCGGCTCCTCGGGCCGGTCCCCGATGCCCCCGCAGCACGCTCGGGGAAGGGGACACCGCTATTCTGGCTGCTTCCCGCTCCCGCCGCTAGGCTGTGCTCCCCTCCCTTGGACGGAGGGAGCGGCGTCGTGGACCTGCCAGGGGCTCCGCCGGGACCGCTGCCAGCTAGGGCTGTGGGGGAGGCCGTGCAGAAGGGAGGGTGCCAGGGTCGGGTGAATCACCCCCTTCCCAGAGCCGCTCGGCGGGGACTTCCGAAGGGAAGCGGCTGGGCCATGACACATCCTCCACCGGAGGATGCCGCGAGGAGCCGGGGGCACCGCCAGCTCCCGGGAGGTCCTCCAGTGCGGGGCCAGCTCTGCTTGGCGGCAAACAGAGCAGAGGCGGGAGAGCAAATGCTGCCTTTATCCATGGGGATGTGGAACTGAGGGTGGCAAGTCCCATCTTGTGTGTCACTCTGTCCCAGAGTTGCTGCAACCCTATTCATTCCACGGATGCATTGTCAAGTCTGACCTCATCTCACCAGTGGGACCTGTGGATGCAGATACAGGCACCGTGGGCCCCCCCTGCTGCTCTGCCCCTCAACCCGTCCACCACACACTGCTCATGGAAGGTCCTGGCTGCTGGTTCTGCTGGGATGAAGGGACAGCTTCTTTACGTGACTTGAGCAGTGTCACCCAAGAGCTGGAAATTTTTCCCAGGGCTGCATCCTCTAACCCAGATTTGCTCTCCCACAGCTGGTGGGGGGGAAGTGGGGTGTCCCAGGGGAGGGCATCCCTTGACTCACCCCCAGGAAAGCCCAGGCTGTGAGAAGGCTGAGTCTGGGTCCCAAGGACTGTAAACAACCCAAAGCATTTAACTGGAGATGGCTTGTCACGTCAACTGTGTGTCACCATGCTGTCACTGCCTGAGTCATGAGCCATGCTGGGGCTAGTGGGGCTGCACAGGGGGGACATGGGAAGATCAAGAGGGATGTAGACAGATCCCAGGCCTGGAGACAAATGCTCCTCTCCCACACAGAGAGTTCAAGTGGGACCCTCTTGGCCCTCTCCCAAAGGTCCCCTTCCACTCATTTCCCTCTGTGTGATCCTTAGATCCAGGCAAGGGCTTGAGGACAGCACAGAGTTTTTGAAACAAGAGGTAAATCAAACAGCACAATGGTGTGTCCTCCATGACCACTACGCAGGGCTCAGTACCTGACAGTAAGCTCTGATCTGGGCTCCCCCTTCTTTGTGCCCCATGGGACCCTGGTGGGCCAGGACCTTTCCCCGAGGACGTGAGGGCAGGATGCCGGAGCAAACCTGGGGCTGGCATCCCGTTATCGCAGGAGACGGGAGGCAGCCCCAGGCTGCTCTCAAGTGGTCCTGGCTGATTAGTGACTTCAAGTGCCTATGGAGTTATTCTAAGTCAAGTAGGCACTAAGGGAGCCAACCTGGGACTGGTAAAACCAGCCCGGGCTTTTCTGGAGCGTTCCCCATCCCCTCTGCTCCCCAACAAACTCTCCGAGATGGGAGGTGTCTCCCCCCTCCAGCTGCTCTCCCTAAACCTTACTCCTCCTGCAAAAGGCTGTTTGCTCCAGCCCAAAGCAAACCTGATTTTATCTCCTGACTCCAGTTCCCTTGGCTGTGGGCCATGGTCGATGCCTCCCACGCAGAACTTGGGAAGCCCATTCGGGGACCCGCGCACAGAGCGGGCTGTGTGTGCTGCCACATGACATCATGTTTACAGCCCGCGGGGGCCCAAGGACAGAGGCATCGCTCTCAGCCCGAGAGATGCGTGTCCTTCCCGTGGATGGACAGATGGATGTGCAGGGAGCTGGAAGGAGTGGGACTGACCACAGTGTCATGCCTCCCTGAAGAGGGGTGGTTGCAGCTTTGCTGCATTGCAAGGCAGTCCCCCTGGCCTCAGTTTCCCCTCTGAGCAGTGGAAAACATATCCTGTGCTAGCAATGAGGATACACTGCTGCAGCAGCACAAAGTCAGGCCCTCAAGCTGCCCTTGGGACCTGGATGTTCCCTTCTCTCCCAGGACAGAGTTGGGCCTTTGCTGGTGAAAAGAGTAACAACATCCAGAGCCATACAGGCTCACTAAAGAGTGCTAGAGCCATTCTTTCTCCTGTCTGTCCATCCATCCATCCATCCATCCATCCATCCATCCATCCATCCATCCATCCATCCATCCACACTTGTATGCAGCTTTCTCACAGCCATCTCTCCATCCATCTTCTGAGCTGTCTTTACACTCACCCATCTATCCATCCATCAACAAATACATGCATCACTCTTCTCACCCACCCCCACACCTACCTGTCCATCCAGACAGCCACCCACTCATTTGTCTGTCTATACTCCTATTCACCCTTCTATCTATCCTTCTCCCAAATGTCAGTGTCCAAGGGATGCACAGTGCTCCCTGGGGGTACAGTGTGTGCATGCGTGTCTGTGGGACATGTTGGCCTTGCAAAGCATGGTGGGCAGCAATGTCCCAGGCTGTGTCCAGCCATGGGGCAGGGGCAGGAGTGCTGGCCAGGGAGGGGGGGGTGCTCATCTAATTTAAGAATGGGCCCCACAGTTGCTGTCAGCACCGAGTGGCTCTGATCTGGGGACAGGTCCTCATCAGCTCCACTTGCCACCCACTGGCCTGACATGAAAGGGCTCTGCACCCCGATAAGGCCCCAGATACTTGGCCCTGGAGGTGAGCAGCACTGTGGCTGAGTCTGGGAGACCCTGAAGAGTAAGTCTCAGCGTGGCTGTACACAAATTCACTGCCACCCCAGCACAAGGGGGTTCCACAGCCTGCGTGTTTGCATCAATTGGGAGTTCAGCCCCGGGGGCTGACCATTGCTTTGAGCACTGGATCACGCCCTGGGTCATCACCATCTCCCACTGGGGACACAATCCCAGGGAGGGCTCCATCCTCATCGCCCCCCTGGCTGCCACATGGCCTGTCCACTGGCCGTTACTACCCTGCACTGGAGTCCTCCGGCTGTGA